CACACTGAGCTCGCCGCGCTTGCTCTTCCCAGGGAAGCCTGAAATCCCCACGATGTCTCCCCGCTTGACTGTCCCGTGCAGACGAGTGAACTCCTCCTCCCCTGCCTCCCAGTTCCTGCCAAGACACAGGGATGGGCAGCAGAGAGAGAGAAGAAGAAACTCAACACACTGAGCTCGCCGCGCCTGCTTTTCCCCCGGAAGCCTGAGATGTGCACGATGTCTTTCCCATTCACAGTCCCGCGCAGGCGAGTAAACTCCCTGCAGGCGAGTAAACTCCTCCTCCCCAAGTTCCTGCATTGACAGGTCACTAGAAGGAAGACTGAGAGCAAAGCAGATGCGTGCACAGGAAGGAACGAAACAACGGCAGGAAGCAAGCAATATGCCAGCAGGAACCCAAACACGAATAAATCCACCTGACGTATCCATCTCGCTTGTAAAACCACCTGAAACCTCACCTGGCGTCGGCCATGACTTGCACTTTGCAGCCGTCCGCATGAAGGTCATAAAAGACAAGCCGGCCGCCCGACGCCGCCCGGCGCATGACGCGGCCGGCAAGCGACACCTGCTCGTCCGCAAGCTGCTGTCCGCTCTCCAGATTGGAGTACTTAGCTAAGTACTCTGGCAGGCGCGTAGACACATGGAACTTGTGCGGGTAGGGGTTGCCTCCTGCTGCCTGGATCTCTGTGACGTATGCCAGACGGTTCTCGTGGTACTTCTGTGGATGTGTGCATGTGGAGTGGAGGTAAAGAGGGGAGGTAAAGAGGGGAGGTAAAGAGGGGAGGTGAAGAGGGGAGGTAAAGAGGGGAGGTGAAGAGGGGAGGTGAAGAGGGGAGGTGAAGAGGGGAGGTGAAGAGGGGAGGTGAAGAGGGGAGGTAAAGAGGGGAGGTGAAGAGGGGAGGTGAAGAGGGGAGGTAAAGAGGGGAGGTGAAGAGGGGAGGTGAAGAGGGGAGGTAAAGACGGGAGGAGAAGAGGGGAGGTAAAGAGGGGAGGTGAAGAGGGGAGGTGAAGAGGGGAGCCTGGGAGGTAAAGAGGGGGGTGAAGAGGGGAGGTAAAGACGGGAGGAGAAGAGATGGGAGGGCGACCGGATTGCCACCTGCTGGCAGGATTCCTGGCGCGTGGCGTCTCGTGGCTGATTTCCCAGGAAAAGTGGGGTTGCGTGAGAGTGGAAGGTAGTAGTAGGTGAGAACTACACAGTAGGCGGTGTCGCCACGGAAGGTGTGTCGATCGAGAATGAAATGCAACATGCTGCAAGGGTCGCTGGATCTTTGTGAGGCCACACAAATGTTCTCGAACAGTTGGAAGTGTGACAAAGAAAGAGAGAAACAGTGGCGCAGGGTGGGATAAAGACGGGAAGAGCATGGCCAGGGAACCGGCAGCGGGATTGAAGGAGAATGGAGTGGGTTGGATTCGTGAGCACCAGGCAGAAAGGGGGAAGATTGATAACAAAGAACAGCCCTGGGCACAGGCAAGACAGGCTACAAGGTTCAAACTTCAAGCTTCAAGCATGGAAAAGCATTGCCAACAGCCCTAAGCCCCCCTTGGGATCTCCTCGTCTGACTCACATTGGGATCCTCCTCTTCGTCCTCTTCTGCGGCCTTGGTCTTTGCCTTGTCCCCTCCTGCGCCTTGAGCAGCCGCCTTCTCTGCCTGCCAGTGTCAAGCCAAGGCAGAATCGTATGCAAGTCAACGTGATTGTGACTGCGTGCTAATTTTTTTTTTTTTTTTTTTTTTTTTTTTTTTGGCAGTGTCTGTCATTGTCAAGGCCGAGTTGTATGTAAGTCAACGTGAACGTGATTGTGAATGTCAGCGTCGATATCAGTCAATCAAAGTGAGTGTGAATGTGAACGTCAGTGCCAGTTTTCACGTGAGCGTCAATGTGAATGTCGATATTGATTTCAATGAATGGGTGTAAACGTGAATGTCAACACCGTCTCAATGCCAATCGTTGTGAAAGGGAATGCCAATATCAACTATGTTAGTGTCAAATTTCAATACCAAGTTTCCAATACATGTCAGTGTCAGAATTCACCTTCGCTTATGACAAGCACCTGACATCCAGGGCAAGCGTCTCTACTGACATCCACGACAAGCGCATGTACTGACACCCATGACAAGCACTTACATCGACATTCGTAACAAGCATCTATACTGACAGCCAGAATGACATGAATCATGACATGTACGAGACAGCCTTACCTTGAGCCGTTCCTTCTCCTCCTTCTCTTTGGCCTTCTGCTCCGCCTTGAGTCGACGCTTCAGCTCACTGCGTGACAAAAGCGAAATCTCCTTAATATTATTACGGCTGAAAGAAATGCGATGGGTGACTGCAACGAAAGCCTGAATGGCGGAATGGCATTATAAAGCATCAATGTGCCGTTTCGGCCAGAAATAACCGAAAATTCCAGTTTGCTGGCAAGAGGACGCCAACTAGCTAGTTAACGAAACCAGCCAATGATAGCATCTTGATAGAAGGGATAGGGTTTAGAAAAGCGTCGCTCCCACGAACCATCCAGAAACAGGTGATTTCTCTGCCTCTTGAAAATGGAAAATACCTCTTGCTGATCTTCTCCCCCCCATCAGCTGTGACTTGTTCTGCGTCAGCAGGAGCCGCAGTCGACGGATCAACAGCAGGATCAGCCATTAGCAGCTGTCAACAGTTCGAACAACTGCTACAGCGTAAACTGCCAGAACCTGGACGGAGCACAGCTAGAGCTGGCAGCGACCAGGCAGTCAGTGTTAGCGAAACAGAGCCAAGTAAGAAGCTCAGCTGATCAAGCCAGCAGGAGGAATGAAGCGGTGTGCTTGGCTGACCTTCGGATCAGATGAGCTCGAGGAAAAGCACGAAGTTCCCAACAGTGAATGTGGGGAGGAAATGACGAACCGCAGTGCTTTCTTGTTTCTAATTCCAACGGGCAGTGGCTTTGACAGCACACCCGCTCCGCGATCGCGTCCGATTCCCACGGGCAGTCGATCCCGTTATTTCCCATTTTTCGTGACCAGATGTATAAAAGGGCAATTACGAAGACTACCTGGTTTCAGTAAAGCGCCAGTGGAAAAACTAAAACCCACTCGGATGACAAGCCATTTGGGAGGCATCAACCCTAAACACCTTGCCTCATGGTGTTTAGGGTTGATGCCCGTTACGTGGCATGCCTTCCAAGAGGATATATATTTTTTTGTCCCGAGCTGCGCTTCTGCGTTGGACGCGATGAAATGATTTTATATATCCTGTAAAACAGAAAAATGTTTTATTTTGGACTCAAAAAGGGTAAACGGGCAAATAATATGCCCCAAGGAATTCGACGCGATCGCAAAGCAATGCGCTGTCAAAACCACTGCCGAAAGTAATCGGAAACAAACAAACAGGGCGATTCGTCATTTCCTCGAATGTGGGCTTGTGGTTGTGGTGTGGAGTGTAGAGTCACGCGAAAGCTTGCTTTGGCGAACTCGTTTCGATAGAGCTTGCGGAGCTGTTAGCTTTTGACAAACTCTCGAGATTATTAGAGAAAATTCATTCATAAGGTTATAACATGGGTTCCCAAATGATTTAGAGCAGCCTTTCTATGACAATATGACAAGTTGGACGAGTTGTTTTGTAATCATGCGCTCTCATTGACCCCCCTACAGTATGGATTGTTGAAATAAATAACTTAAACACTCTTTACGGGGACAACTTGCCCTAGTTGCTATTGTTGAACGCCGTATTTCAATATTAAGGAGGCGGGCGGGAGGAGCATGGTGAACCGATTTTTACATTGGTTACATCGTTATACTTTATATGTACCCTGATTTTACGCACCTTGAGTACGCGATCTTGCATGGAATACCATTCAGTTTCTCATAAGTGGCTGCAATAACCGAAATCTCCTTAATTTCCAATAAATGTAACAATGGAAAAATAATCCAGGGTTCGTTACAAGCAACATTCTTGTTTCGTCATATGCGCTCGTTTTGGCAGGTTCGGGACCGCCGTAACTGTGTTGCACGTCCGAGTTGATGCCAGCGTGGGTGGGCGAAACGCCAACGTGATGGATTCGTTCAAAGCGAACCCATGAACGAAAGGAACGATAATCCGTTGGGCGAGCCGCCCCTGCTGTTGCTGTTTCTCGCCGCACCGCATCCGCGTCGTCTCTTCCCACCACCACATTGCGATGCGATGCGGCTCCTACCTGTCTGACCGCATGAAGGAAGGAAAGCACCCTTCGAGATAATGCACCCATCTGAGGAAATACACCTTCACCCTTCCCCACCCAACTCCAGCCCACTATTCTCCTGCTTTTTACCCCTACGTACTGTGTTTTCGAAACCAGCGTGTCAGATGCCGTTTCGTATGGATCCTGTTACCCGTTAACGACAAGTTTCCTGGGAGTTGTCCGTTTAGATCGCTGGCTGCAGCAGCCAGGGGACTACCCAGTCATATGCTGACACGTTTTGCAAGCCCAAGCACATCAATTAGCGGGTCACTGAGGCGGATGAGAGTGCTTTCAATCAAACACGTCTCGAAAGACGGCTCAGCAGCTACCACCTTACTATCCATCCAATCCGGCGGCATCCAGCAGCGGCAGCAGTAGTAGGTAGCACTTACCAGTCAGGCAGTAGGTAGTATCTAGGTTACGTGCAGTCTTTATCGATCGTTCTTGATGGTGATTAGTCGCCTGAACACACGCCGTAACTATTAGTGACGAGTAACACGCATAGGCGAAAGGCGACAGGCCGTGTTAGGCTCCGCGAAATTGAGGGTTGGAAATCAGGTTCGTACGAGGGTGCGATTATGTCAAAACTTCTTAATAAGGAATCTCTAGGGATTCGGTAATAATCTAGAAAGGATCTAGTAAGGACCGAACGGGATTCAAATTCACGGTTGAAGGCCCTATCAGCAAGCGGCACGTTAGCTCTTCTTCTTTTCGTTGTTTTTCATTCTGACGGTACGTGTCCGACAGAATCAGGCTTGAACCGGTTCACCCGGATCTGTCGGACACGTACTAATAGCCATAGAGGCCTATGTCTGCGATGATCCCTCCGCCGGCAGCACGTTTTGGGCAGAAGCAGGCTGTCGCGTCGCTTCCGCTGACCTTCCGGCTCCCCCGGCTGCCGATTCTCCTGCTTCTTGCTCTCGTTACCGTGCTTCTCGCGCGCTGGCCAGTCCTGCGCGGCCACGTGGCGCGCGATCCGGAGATCGGCGCGGTGAATGCGATTCTTGTCGGTCGGAGCTGGGCTTCTATCGAGGAGGCTTCTATCGAGGACGAAGTTCATAACCTTGAAGGGGAAAAGCATGGTGTAGGCAGCATCGGCGGGAGGGATGGTAAAGAAGGAGAGCCATATGAACGGATAGAGTGGGCGCGGGGAGAGAGCAGATGGGCGGAAGAGGAGGGGGAGACGGCGCAGAATGCGGAAGGTTCCGACAGTCGCGGGGATTCCCGGGAGGCGGAACGAGTGGGGGAGATATCGCAAGAGGGAGAAGGGGAGATGGCGGAAAGCGAGAATGCGGACGTTGGCGGAACTGCTGAAGGGGGAGGGGAGTATCAAGGAGGGGACGCGGAGCAAGGCCGAGATGAAGAGGACGATTTTCCGGGAAAGGGGGGAGGGGAAGTGAAGGGGCAAATGGGTGGTGAAAGGGAGAAAAAGAGGGAGGGGCGACGACGGAAGACGACGAGAGAGGAGGGCGAAAGGGAGGCGACGGATCGGCAGGGGAGCGCGGGGCGATCGGCGCGGGGCGACGAGGCGGCGGACGCGAAATTGCGCGGAAAGAAGGAGAACATTCTAGGCAGCAGCGACGAGAAAAGCGACGCAGAATCGAGAGAGTCTAACGAGGCGAACGAGAAAGCGAAGAAGCGGAAGAAGCGGCGGCAGAGGCGGTGTCGAGAACTAGGTGTTCCCTGCTCCTTTCATTTGTCGAAGAAGGCTCGAGTGAAACATGCGCTCGAAACGGTGACCGTCCCGATTAACGGCCGGATTCTTTCGCCGTTAGATTCGCCGGAGGTTCAGAAGCTGTTGCGGCCGCTGGGCAGGGTATTGCTTCCGGGAAGCGGCCATTCGAAGTGGTGGGAGACGCGATGGCTGCCGGTTAGCCGTCAGGAGTTTTTCGATCCAAACGGCCGGTATCTTTTCGTCACCGGCCACCGGGATTTCTGCGCGGGGATTCGGCACTTTCATCGCAGCCTGTCGTGCAGAATCGCAGAGGCGGCGGTTCTGAATCGCACGCTCGTACTCGATATGGGGTTGTGCATTAATGGACTGCACAACGAGGGGAAATTCCAAATTAACCCCATCCATGTTTACTACGACCTCGCATCTCTCAGGTAAGCCGCGAATCATCATGAGGGTTACGAAATCCCCTCTGCATTATCGGGAGGTCTAATAACGAGAATGATGGTACATGGTATGCACCTTATAAGCTATCTTTTCGCATCTTATAACGTCCTGACGGTTCACCCATCCCGCTCTCCCACCACCCTTCCCAATTCCCCCCCCCTCTCCTTCATCCTCCCGTTTTCCCTCCCCCCGTTTTATCTCCCCCGTTTCCCCCCCAGCGCCGTCCGCTTCACCCCCCTGCAGGGCTTTCTAGAGGAGGCGGAGAAATGGCAGGCGGGGTTGGGGAGGCGGGACGGGGGGGGAGATTGGGGGGAGGCGGAAGGTGCAGGCGGGGCAGCGGAGGGAGAAGCAGTAGTCAGGAGACTCGCGGAAGCAGGGGGGGGAGGGGAAGGCGGGAAGGCAGAGGAGGAAGGTTCGCTGCGGTTTCCTGTGCGGGTGGTGGGCGGGCACGTGAGGACAAGAAGGCTAGTGGGCGACGACGACACGGCGTTGATCGTGCGGACGGTGAATTACGGCTTTGCTGCATGCGAGTTCAACCCGTTCCACGCGAAGCCACGCCACGAGGTGCGTCTCTCCTGGTATCTCTTACAACCTGCTGACTGATCGTGCGGGCGGTGAATTACGGCTTTGCCGCGTGCGAGTTCAACCCCTTCCACGCGAAGCCGCGCCACGAGGTGCGTGTGTGGTGATTGGCTGTGTGACTGGTCTCTCTTGCTACCTGCCGCGTCTGCCTGGTGTGGGAACGACTAAGAGAGCGGCGTGGGCGTGACTCACGGGTTTGCCGCGTGCGAGTTCAGTCCGTTCCACGTGAAGCCACGCCACGAGGTGCGTGCACTGATGAGGGTGTGGGTGCACTTCCAGTTGTCCCACTTCCTCCCTGCCGGCGCTGTCACTCCCGTTGTTCCCCTCTCAATTCTCCATTCCATTGCTCCTCCTTCAACCCCCCTATTTCTCCTCTTTCCCTCCTCCAGAAGGACTACCCCATTCCCAGCAACCACAGCGCCATTCGGCATCGGCCGGAGCTGCTGGCGCTGCCATTTCAGTTGCCCCACTCCCTCCGCGTTCACCCCATTCTTCCGCTCTTCACCCCCTTTCTTTCAACCTCTTTTCCCCTTTCGCCCAACAGAAGGACTACCCCATTGCCAGCAACCACAGCTCCATCCAGCATCGGCCGGAGCTGCTGGCACTCCCATTCCCACTCGCTCTTCCTTTGTTCCCCCGTTTTCCTCCTCCCTCCTCCAGAAGGACTACCCTATTGCCAGCAACCACAGCGCCATTCAGCACAGGCCGGAGCTGCTGGCGCTGGCAGCAGAGATGGGGAGGGCGATGGGTGGGGGGGATTATGACGCCGTGCATGTGAGGCGGGGGGACAAGCTCAAGCCCGACAGGTGGCCGCACCTCGACCGCGACACACGACCCCCCGCGTGAGTGCTCTATGTTGTTGCTGCCCTCAATGCTCTCACTGCCAGTGATGGCAAGTCATGGTATGAGGTGCGGCCACCTGTGAGGGAAGGGGAAATACTGAAGCCTGGCAGGTGGCCGCACCTCGACCGCGACACAAGGCCCCTCGTATGAGTGCTCTATGGCATTGATCCCCCCACTGCCCTCACTGCCCCTACTGCCCCCACTGTCCCCACTGCAGTGAGTGTGCGTGCCCAGTGAGTGTGCGTGCCCAGTGAGTGTGTGTGCCGAGTGAGTGTGTGTGCCCAGTTAGTGTGAATATGCCCTTCTCTCTCATTTCCCCCCACCCTTCCCTCCAGGCTCTTGAAGAAGCTTCCCAAGTTCATTGCACCTGGACGCACTCTCTATATCGCCACCAACGAAAGAACTCCAGGGTTCTTCGACCCTCTTCGTACCCTTTACAAGCTGTACCGTTTAGAGGACTTTGAGCACCTCTGGCACCAAGGCTCTTCGTGGTTCGATACATATGTGGAGATGCTGGGAGTGTCCGAGCCTGTCTTTGACCCGTACATGCAGGTTATAGTTGACTATAGAGTGCTCAACTCGGCTCAGACTGTGGTTCGGACTTTCCCGAACCTAACATCCGACCCTGAAGATGGGTACATACGACCTCCAAGCTTGAATGAGCCTACATTGTTGGATTGGTTATGGGGGTTGTTCGGGTATAAAAATGAGGATGGCCGTTAAAACGAAGTGGCGTGTACGTATCTCTTTCAATTCGATCGAATGTCAGTGTAGTGATAGTAGCTCTATTGTCTTACCTCAAGTGATTCTTTGCTTCCGTTTTTCATGTAATAAGGGGGATAAGGGTACGTATATCGCACATGCCTTGTTTCGAATCGTAACATTCAAATGTGAATTGCCATTCGCGAAGGGCCCAGAAGCCGTTTCGACCTTCGTGGAACTCGATACGCAGTTTCGCCAGCATGCGAAGGGATGCATGCTTGATGTGACTGGCGGAGCCGCACGCCCCCGCATGACGTGCTGCGCAGACTCCCGCCCCAATTGCCCCTCCCGCGCGCGGCTGCGCTGCTCCCCGCGCACTGACGTGTATGAGACGCCATATCGGGTGGCACGAACATGAAGCTCATCCCAGCCGTCGCCGAGCCATCAACACCTATAAAGAGCCTATCAGTGACGCGAGTTTGCCGTTCCGTACCTCTTTCCGCCAGCTTCGGTGGCGTGTTTGCTTGAGTTTCCTCGAGTTTTGCGCGCTTTTGCCACTGTTGCGGCTGCTGGTGCTGCTGCTGCTCCAGTTTCCGACTTCCATTGAGTTTTGAGAAACGAATTTCTGATTTGTGCCTGTCGGGTTTGCCATACTGTTATCAGTTGTGAGAGGAGGGAAGGGTGTTTCTGTTAGTGTTAGGCACCGTTGCTGCCGGTTTCTTGGACTTGGAGATAGTTGAGGAAGTGAGAGCTGCCACCGCGGCTAACGGGAACGCGGTTTAGCTGCTCGAGGTTTCGTGTCTTTCAGGTTCAATAACAAATCCGGCTGTGCTCCGCTGTAATTGTGCCGACTGCCTCCGCCATGGATACTCTTTACGTGCTTAAGGTGAGGACTGCCTCTTATCTTAACTCAGCCATAGATTCTTAGCGTTCAAACTTAGCTCGTTCTTTTCATTTATTACTATATATTTAAATCGCTGTGTTGATTCGGTTTCACACCTTCCGGACCGCCCTTTCACTTGTGTCACTCGACGACATGTCACGTTCGCTTGCCTTGAGCTCCTCCGCGTTCCCTTTTCCTATCAGGTCAAGTGTCGCGGACTAAAATCTTATTGTCTCAATTTACTTCCACGTTTCTTATAACCTCAAATCCTCCGCGTTGTTTTCCTTCTATCAGGTCAAGTGCCGCGGCGTCCTTCGTCGCATCTCTTCTCGTCGCTCCCCTCCGGCGTTCGACCACGTGGACGGTCAGATTCGCAAGCTCTTCAAGGTTCCCGCCGACAAGCCAATCACCGTCACGTACACGGATTCCGACGGTGACGTCATAACGATTTCCACGGACGAGGATCTTCACGACGCGTTCATCTACCAGGAGCTCAACCCGCTGCGCCTCGATGTTGCCGTGGAGTCCCTGCCGGGCGCTGACGATTTCGTCGATGTTTGCAGCCTTGACGGGTCTGTCTACTCGTCGTCGTCGTTCGGCGGAGATGCTACGCCGTCTGCTCCGGCCGTTCCATCCGCGCCGTCCGCGCCGTCTGCTGTTGCTCCTTCTGCCGTGAATCCCACTCCCGCTCCTCTTGCTTCGGATTCAGTCGCCGACTCCTCTGCTGCTCAGGCTGTTCCTGTTCCTCCTGCTGTTTCGACCCCTGCTGTTGACGAACCTCCTCCTGCGCCTGCTTCTGTCCCCGCTCCTCATACTCCTCCCGCTCCTGCTCCTTCGCAGTCCGTTCCTGCTGCTCCTGACGCCTCTGCCAATCCCACCTCGGGCTCCATCCCTGAGCCTGCTCCAGCTGCCGCTGATGCCGCTCCTGCTGCCGGCCCCAGCTCGCCACAGCCCACCAAGCAGACTGTGCCGGAGGATCCCGAGGAGGCGTTTGAGGCGAAAGTCGCGGAGTTTGCAACCGCGGTGGAGAATCAGATTTTGAAGGCGCTGGCGTCGGGCGGGCAGCTGGAGCGCATGCTGGCGCAGTACGGGCCGATTCTCAAGGACGCTCCTGGGAAGATTGCGCAGGTGCTGGCGACGGCGCGGCGGAGCGGGCTTGACGTGGTGTTTGAGCCGATTCTGGAGATGCACCACCGCCGCCAGCAGCAGCAGCAGCAGCAGCATGGGGGGTACAGCGGTGGTTGTGGGTCTTCTAAGCCTTCCACCTCGTCTGCTTCTCCCGCGGATTCTGCTGCTGCTGCCGCTGCTGCGGATTCTGCTGCTGCTGCCGCTGCTGATTCGGCTGCTGCTGCTGCTGATATTGCTGCTGCGGTTTCGGCTGATGTTGCCGCTGCGACCTCTGCAGTGGCTGCTGCGATTGCTGCTGCAGCAGACGCGCTCGATCTCAAGCCTACTTCCTCTGCTACTGCACCTGCTCCTGCTCCTGCCCCCGCTGCTGCTGCTGCTGCTGCCACGGCTGCTGCTGCTGCGTCGGCCTCAGATTCTGCGAGTGAGAGTGGCAAGCCGGTGCACTACGGTATCACCTGTGACGGCTGTGACATGCGCCCTCTCAAGGGCAAGCGCTACCGCTCCCTCGTGTAAGCGTTGGTTCATCAGAGCTTGTTTTTTACACGCACTTTACCTGCTAGCGCTTCTTCTGCTGCCTAACCTCTGATGTTACCGCGTCTACGTTGTGTCATTCAGGCCTTTTTTTAGAAAGTGGCTCCCCTTTTTTTTCTTCTTCTTCCTTGGATTCTTTTAATAACCTCATTTCTTTCGTACCATTGCTTCCGTGTGTGTGGCCTGTGCAGGAAGCATGACTACGACCTGTGCGAGGCGTGCTACAGCAAGGAGGGGTCCATCGCAGAGCACTATGAGTGCATCGACAAGCCGTTGCCTGCAATTTACTGCTGTCCCAAGGATTCTACCACTGCTGCTGGCACTGCTGCTGCTTCTGCTCCAACGGCAGCATTTGCCTCTGCTGCTGCGCCCCAGGGTGGTGCTTCGCAGCAAGCGAGTGAGGCTGCTAAGCCGGTGCACTACGGCATCATCTGTGACGGCTGTGACAAGCGCCCTATCCAGGGCAAGCGCTACCGCTCCCTTGTGTGAGTGCCTCCCTACGTATTTAGAGCTTCCTGTTTTTTTTTTTTTTTTTTTTTTTTTTTTTTGTGTGTCTGTCCCCTTCCTGCTCCTATCTTTGTGTGGATTTACTGTTTTTTTCCTTTTCTGTACCTTTTTTTTTTTTTTTGTTACCCATGTGATTCTTACATCTGTCGTGTGGGTGGTGCAGGAAGGACGACTTTGACCTGTGTGAGGCGTGCTACAGCAAGGCGGGGGTGGTGCCGGAGCACTATGAGTGCATCGACCGCCCTCTCTTCCGCCCCTCGCGCCTGCAGCACATGGCCGCTCATGCCGCTGCCATGGCTGGCATGGTGAGCAGATCAGCTGATGCATGTCGTTGCCTGTTTTGCCGTGCTTAATTCTCAGTGCTTTTTGCGCGCTCTCTCACTGTTTGTAGTGGTCTGAAGCTGAAACTTGGACTTTGCTCGTCTCACTCTGCTCTTCTGCTGTACTCATTCATCACTTCTTGTCGCTCTCTCTCTCCCATTCCTCTTCCACAGCAGCCGGGAGCAGGTCGCCCTTTCTTTGCCCCGCGCCCGCACTGCCCCTTCTCCCACCACTCCATGCCTCACGCATGGGGCCCCGGGTCTCCTTTCAACAAGCACCTGCACCACATGCAACAGCACCACCAGCACCAGCACCCTCACCACCACCCCGGCAACACTGCTTTCACCGGCAGCAGCAGCGTGGGCGGAACCGTTGGGGGGGCAGTTGGGGGGACGGTGGGGCAGCTGCAGTATGGCAGGGCGCATGGGAGGCTGCTGGACGCGCGGTTTGTGAGGGACGTGAGTGTGCATGACGGCAAGGAGATGGCGCCCCTCACCCGCTTCACCAAGATCTGGCGCCTGCGCAACAGCGGGAGTGTTCCCTGGCCGTGCGATCTGCAAGTGATTCATGCTGGCGGGGATTTGCTTTCAGAGACCAGCACTGTGCCTCTCGAGGTGAGCTTTCTGTAGATGGTGTAGCTTTCTCTAGGTGCCATGCTGCCCCTCACGAGGTTCCCCAAGATCTGGCGCCTGCGCAACAGCGGGAGTGTGCCGTGGCCGTGCGACCTGCAAGTGATTCACGCCGGAGGGGACTTGCTCTCAGAGACCAGCACCGTTCCCCTTGAGGTGAGTCATCACTAGGTGGCGCCTCTCACGAGTTTCACCAAGATCTGGCGTCTGCGCAACAGCGGCAGTGTGCCGTGGCCGTGCGACCTGCAGGTCATTCACGCAGGAGGGGACTTGCTTTCTGAGACCAGCACTGTGCCTCTCGAGGTGAGCCTATATATAGATGCCTTGTGAAGCGCCTCTCACCCGCTTCACCAAGATCTGGCGCCTGCGCAACAGCGGCAGCGTGCCCTGGCCGTGCGACCTGCAAGTGATTCATGCTGGCGGGGACTTGCTCTCAGAGACCAGCACCGTTCCCCTGGAGGTGAGTCTTTCAGTTTTTTTCCTGGGGCTTGGAGCATTTGCGTGGAGCAGGAGGTGGACGCGTTAAGCTGCTCGGGTTGCACCTGAAACTCACCCTTGTGCATGGGTTTGTCATCTCTGCTGGTTGTTCTAGTGCCCATGTGTGCAGTTGCCTCGAGGAGGTGTGTATCCCTTGCAGGGGAGGGGTGTATGTGTATCCCTTGTGGCGGTGGACATGGCAGCACCAGCTCGTCCCCCTTCCTCCCTTGTCGTTTCCCACACTCATCCTCTTTTGCATTTTGTTGTCATTCATGCCTTCCTCTCTTTGCAGTTGCCACGAGGGGGCGTGTACCCTGAACAGGAGGTTGATGTGGCGGTGGACATGGCAGCACCTGCCCGCCCCGGGCGGTACATGTCTCACTGGCGCCTGCTGGCTCCTGGAGGCCCCAAGTTCGGTCACCGCTTCTGGGCCCAGATCCAGGTCAGTATAAGCCAAGTTAAAGGTCACCTTACGGTTGCTACATGTCCCATTGGCGCCTGCTGGCTCCTGGAGGCCCCAAGTCTGGTCACCGCTTCTGGGCCCAGATCCAGGTACAGTGTACCTCTTGTCCCCTTCAGGTCGGGTTCAGTGCACACTGCAGGACGTTTCTGGTTCTGGCCTTTTGCCTCTGCGTCTGTCAGTGCGCATTTATTCACTTATGTCTGTCTGTCTGCCCCTCTCGTGTGTGTGGTGTTCAGGTCGTGGAGGCCAGTGCAATGGATGAAGAGCCAGCGCCTCTCCTTGCTGCTGCCCCTGCTGCCGCTCCTGTTGCTGCGTCTGCGCCTCCTGTGCCTGCTGCTGCTGCTGAGTCTGAGTCTCCCTCCCTGCCTGAAGCCGTTTGTGTGAAGGCCAGCCCGAGTACGGACGCAGAGAACGTACTAGCTGATGCTACTCCAGTGGAAGACGCTGCTGCTGGTGCTGCTATTGTGGAGCAGGCAGGTGCTGAGGAGGCTGTGGAGGAGAGTGGTGCGGTATCTGTCGTGGAAGTAGCAGAGGAGGAGGAGGAGGTTGGGAGTGCTCAGGAGAAGCAGGAGGAGGAGGAGGAGGAGGAGGAGGAGGAGGAGGAGGAGGAGGAGGAGGAGGAGGAGGAGGAGGAGGAGGAGGAGGAGGAGGAGGAGGAGGAGGAGGAGAAGGTTGAAGTTGCTGTGCAGGCGAGTCAGGTGGTTGAGAAGGAAGAAGTCAAGGAGGTGAAGGACGACGTGGAGGTGGTAGAAGAGGAGAAGCAGGAGGAGGAGGCGCAGGAGTGGGAGGATCCGATTATCACTGCGATCCGCAACGCTGCTGACAACGTCGGGTCGGCAGCCACTGGTGCTGGTGCTGCTGCCGAGTCTGATGTTGATGCAGCCATGGCTGCTGTGGGCGATGTGGTGATTGACGTCGCCCCTGCCTCCGTTGAACCTGCTGTGCCTGCCGTGCCTGCCGTGCCTGCTGCTGCTGCTGTGGATGCAGTTGTTGCTCCTGCTGCTGACGCTGCTGCTGCTGCTGCTGCTGAAGAGGAGTGGACAGACCTGCGCACCCCTTCGCCTGCAGACGACACCGCCAGCTCCACCAGCACCACCACTGATGCCACCACCGCAGAGACTATCCCCCCTGCCCTCCCCGCTTCAGACGTGTCTTCCGCACTCCTGCCGGCCCTTGCCTCATCCTCCTCCGATGCCGCTTCCGATGCCTCCTCGTCTGTGTGCTCCCCCAGGGCGGAGGACACTGCTGTAGGCAGCTTCTCTCTGGTGAATGTGTCCTACCCCTCCATCGCCTCCATAGCATCTGTTGTGCCTGTTCCCGCTGCTCTCACGCCTGGTCAGTCGCTGTATCCCTCGGTTGAGAGCATCGGAGTGCTGGTGCCTGAGGCAGCTCCTGCTGTTGCGGCTGCTACAGCTGCAGTGGCTGCTGCTGCTGCTGCTGGAGCTGGTGCTGCCATGACGGAGGATTTGCTCACAGGAGATGACTATGTGAATGTGTCTGCGCCTGTTGTGCCCGCCGCTGTGCCCGCCGCTGTGCCTGCGCCTGCCGCCATGCCGTCGCCTGCTAGCTTCCTGGATGAGGAAGAGGAGATTGAGATGGAAGCCCCGCCGCTCGTTGTCAACTCGTCCGCTCCTGCTGCTCCCGCCGCTCCTGTTGAGGCTCTTGCGCCATCTGCACCTGCGGTGCCCGCTGGGGGGAGGTACAGCAGCCAGGTGCAGCAGCTGGTGGAGATGGGGTTCCCCTACCCTGCTCTGAATGGCGAGCTGCTGGAGTTTACTAATGGGAACATGGATGAGGTGGTAACCATGCTCGTGAAGGTTACAATGGAGTGGCAGGAGAAGATGGACGAGCTGGAGGAAATGGTGAGTTTTTTCCCTTTCTTTTCTTTGCCTGCTTTTGTTTTGGGTGTGGGTGGTGGAGATTTGGTTTCCCCTCTGGCATCGGTGATGTGTGCTGACTAGTGTTTGGGATGTGATGTATGTATGTGGTGCTGTGTGCAGGATTTCACGGACAAGGAGATGAACATGCGTCTGCTGCTGAAGCATGATGGCAGTTACAAGCGTACTGTGCGCGAGCTCGTGGCGCTTGACAAGGCCAGCAGGAAGGCTGGCAGGGCGGAGCGCGCCTAATTCCTTTGCTGGTTGTGTTGTGGTTCCGGAGGGAGACATGCTGCTATGACCTAGCTGGTTGCATGTGACGAGGCTGGTGCTTGGTGGCGCTGACAAGGCTGGTGCTTGGCGGCGCTGACAAGGCTGGTGCTTGGCGGCGCTGACAAGGCTGGTGCTTGGCGGCGCTGACAAGGCTGGTGCTTGGCGGCGCTGACAAGGCTGGTGCTTGACGGCGCTGACAAGGCTGGTGCTTGGCGGTGCTGGCAAGGCTGGTGCTTGGCGGTGCTGGCAAGGCTGGTTGCTTGGTGGTGCTTCACAAGGCCAGCATGAAGGTTGGCAGGGGAGAGATGGTGTTGGTGTCAGGATAGTTTATCTTTGGGGTGTTACCAGGTTCTGCGGCTGGGCTGGGACCGTTGGTGCTGTGCTCTTCTGTATGTAGTCTTGTAATCTTCTGTTCATATAGTGAAATGTTTGCTTCACTCACTTTGTTTTTAAAAAGTGTAACAAATGGATTTCTAGATTTTAGGAAGTTTCACGAATCAGCTTGACACGCGACGGAAATCTTGAAGATTTACAGCTCAGCACAAGGAGGGGTGACGTGGCTTGCCCACTCGCGAATTGCCCGCCAAGCCGCCACCGCTGTCACCAGCACTCGATTTCGAAATTCGTCTGCGAGGCTGGGCAAATCCCACGGCCGCACAGGTCTGTTCTGAGAGATTGTTCCATTTTACTTCTCGGATTATACCTCCGAGAGCTATTTCTTCCCCCCCTAGGACTTTCACCATAACCATTCGGTTGTTTGAGAAGTTTTGTTGTTACCCGCGCCAAGCCCAGTCTTTCCTGTTCTTTTCGTCTGAAAGAAGCCTTGTTCATTGAGAGAGCGCCAGCTCGTGCTTTTCTGATCGTCACTAGGATCGAAACATGGCGGCTCTCTCCGCGTCTTCCGCTCTGGCTGTGTCCAGATTTACATCTCTTCCATCGGCGCATTCTTCATTATCCCCGCTGCGTTCGGCGGGAAAAGTTCCACGATTCACTTTCCGCGTACGCGCAGACGCGTCGGGAGGGGACGCGGAACCCGTGGTTGAGAATGCGCCTTCAGCGGGATCCGCGGAAGCTCCGCCGAAGAAGAAGACGATTCGGCGCGTGAAAAAGCCGGACGGCGGAAGCGCGGCGGATGATCTGCTGGCGCCGGGCCGATCCGTGGAAGAGCGCGGTGTGACTGTAGAGGGCGTGGCTAAAGTGGATCGCGGAGAGAGCTCGTCCACACTCGCGTGAGTCACAATGTGTCGCACAGCTCGCTCGCATAGTCGCAGACCACGCTCCATTATCACACAGACCACTCTCTAGGTGTGGCTAAAGGGGATCGCGGAGAGAGCTCGTCCACGCTCGTGTGAGTCACATTATGTCGCACAGCTCGCTCGCCATCGTCGCACAGTCCGTCTCCATTGTCGCCCAGACCATTCCGCGTCAATGCGGTCCATTGCGGTTCATTGTCCGTTCGGCATGGTCGCGGGATGTGAATAATGTTCTGCTTTTCTTGAGAATTCTCAAGACGCACATTGAAGTCGTTTTGGGATCTGAAGAGAGCGTACGAAAACTGAAAGAGCAAATTCGCCAAAAAAGATGAGGTTTCAGTACTCCCTTCAGAAGTAGCGTTTTAGTAGCATCGTCCCTTCAATTTCCGTCTCCCGTCTCTTTCCCACTCCCTCGTGCTGCTCCCTCCTCCGCCAGTCGCGCGCTCCTCACAGCGGGCAGGGACGCGGCGGTGTTGATTCTCTTCGCCTACATCGGCAGAGCCACGCACGTGTCTGCCGCCATTGACTGGGAGCTATTGTGTTCCCCGCTTCCGTGTGTTTCCCCCTGGCGTCTGTTTCAACCCCCCCATCTCTCTCCGCCAGGCGCGCGCTCCTCACAGCGGGGGGGGATGCGGCGGTGCTCATTCTCTTCGCATACATCGGCAGAGCCACGCACGTGTCCGCCGCCATAGACTGGGAGCTCATCAAAACCGCCCAACCCTTCCTCGCGGGTAAGCACCCTCTCTTTTTCTGAGTTGCAGAAAGAAATGAAAGAGCACGCACGTGTCCGCCGCCATTGACTGGGAGCTCATCAAGACCGCTCAGCCGTTTCTCGCAGGTAAGCATGCTCATTTCATTTCATTCTCTTGTGAAACGGTCTGTGAGGAGGATTCTCAAGAGCTACGACTTTTGAGACGTCTCAAAAGGATTCTCAAGATCTACAACTTTTGAGACGTCTCAAAAGGATTCTCAAGAGCTACGACTTTTGAGACGTCTCAAAAGGATTCTCAAGAGCTACGCACGTGTCTGCCGCCATTGACTGGGAGGTCAGCTCATCAGAATTGCCCAGCCGTTCCTGGCTGGTGAACACCTTCTGTGCCCACCCCTCTGCGCACACCGCATCCCCCCCCCTCCACACTCTCTCCTCCCACGCTTCCTCCTACCGCACTGCCTCTCCTCCCCCCCCCCCCACACGCATTTTCCCTCATATTTGGAGACTACAGCGTCAGCAAGCCTTTTTCGACCCCTGGTCACACCGCATTCCCGCCACAACCCGCGCCCCACACTCCCTGCCCCCCACACCAGGCTGGTTCATATCTGCCATCATATTCGGTGACTAAGCATTGGCAAGCCTCTGCCCTCCCACTCCCATCCATCTCTCTTCCCACCCTTGCCCTTCCCTTTTCGAACATTCTTCCCGCCCAACCAGGCTGGTTCATCTCGGCCATCATATTTGGCGACTACAGCGTCGGCAAGCCTCTGCCTGCGTCGCCAGGAGACACTGCCAAGGAGGCAGGGAAGACGTGGGCGCTGGGCATACCGGTGAGTGGTGTGGGCACTGGGGGTACCGGTGACTGCTGTGGGGTTGAGAGGTGTGCTGGGTGCAAGTAAAGGGTGCACAGGAGCAGGGTCGCCAGGCGACGCTGCCAAGGCGGCAGGGAAGGCGTGGGTGCTGGGCGTGCAGGTGAGTGTTGTGGGTTGCGGAGGGTGCTGAGGGTTCTGTGGGTGCTGTGTTGGTGCTGGTGGCAGGGAGGGGGTGAGCAGGAGTATTGTCGCCAGGCGACGCTGCCAAGGCGGCAGGGAAGGCGTGGGTGCTAGGCGTGCAGGTGAGTGTTGTGGGCGCGCTGCTGGGGGGTGGTGGTGTTAGAGAGGACTCTGCTAAGGCGGCAGTTAGGTCATGGGCGCTGGCGTGCCGGTGAGTGCCGAGGGTGGTGGTGATGTGGTAGTGGTGGGAGCGAGGAAGCGGCAGGTGGGAGCATGGTGGGTGGGGGATGGGGGTGTTAGAGAGACCTTGCCAAAGCGGCAGGGAAGACGTGGGCGCTTAGAGTGCCGGAGGTTGCTGCGCGTGCTGTGGTGGGATTGTCAGTGGTGCGCTTCTGGGTGTACCGGTGAGTGGTGTGGGTGCTGTGGGTGCCGTGGGTGCTGTGCGCGCTGTGGTTGCTGTGGTCTATCTGGCGTAACACATTCTCATAGGGCCACCTTCCACAGCTGACTTCCTTTCGCGATTCCACTCACTGTCGCTCCCTGTCTCTTCTCTTTCCCTTCCCCTCCGTTCCTCCCTTCTCCTCCCTTTTCTAACTCCAGCTAGGCATTGGGTTCCGCAGTCTAATCAAGGGCCAGGCCCCCCAGGTGCCCTTCCTAGCAGTCGCCGTCGTCACAACATCCCTCCTCATGCTCGGATGCCGCGCTGCCCTCACTGCTGCCCGTCCTTAGGCTCCTCTTTCTCCCCCTTCCCTCCCCCTCATCTCGCTGCTCCCTTTCCCTTCCTTTCGCCTCCGTTCCCCCTTTCTCCTTCCCAACTCCAGCTAGGCATTGCATTCCGCAGTCTAATCAAGGGCCAGGCCCCCCAGGTGCCCTTCCTAGTAGTGGCCGTCGTCACAACATCCCTCCTCATGCTCGGATGGCGCGCTGCCCTCGCTGCTGCTCTCCCGGGGGATGGCGGGGAGAAGTCAAAGCTGGACCGCAAGGGGAGTGTGTTTGAGCTGCTGGAGGTGAGTACTGGGATGGGATCGAATGTGATTGTTTTGAGTCGACGCAAAAATCACCTCTGCCTGCTGCTCTGCCGGGGGATGGCGGGGAGAAGTCAAAGCTGGACCGCAAGGGGAGTGTGTTTGAGCTGCTGGAGGTGAGTACTGGGATGGGATCGAATGTGATTGTTTTGAGTCGACGCAAAAATCACCTCTGCCTGCTGCTCTGCCGGGGGATGGCGGGGAGAAGTCAAAGCTGGACCGCAAGGGGAGTGTGTTTGAGCTGCTGGAGGTGAGTACTGGGATGGGATCGAATGTGATTGTTTTGAGTCGACGCAAAAATCACCTCTGCCTGCTGCTCTGCCGGGGGATGGCGGGGAGAAGTCAAAGCTGGACCGCAAGGGGAGTGTGTTTGAGCTGCTGGAGGTGAGTACTGGGATGGGATCGAATGTGATTGTTTTGAGTCGACGCAAAAATCACCTCTGCCTGCTGCTCTGCCGGGGGATGGCGGGGAGAAGTCAAAGCTGGACCGCAAGGGAAGTGTGTTCGAGCTGCTGGAGGTGAGTACTGGGATGGGATCGAATGTGATTGTTTTGAGTCGACGCAAAAATCACCTCTGCCTGCTGCTCTGCCGGGGGATGGCGGGGAGAAGTCAAAGCTGGACCGCAAGGGGAGTGTGTTTGAGCTGCTGGAGGTGAGTACTGGGATGGGATCGAATGTGATTGTTTTGAGTCGACGCAAAAATCACCTCTGCCTGCTGCTCTGCCGGGGGATGGCGGGGAGAAGTCAAAGCTGGACCGCAAGGGAAGTGTGTTCGAGCTGCTGGAGGTGAGTACTGGGATGGGATCGAATGTGATTGTTTTGAGTCGACGCAAAAATCACCTCTGCCTGCTGCTCTGCCGGGGGATGGCGGGGAGAAGTCAAAGCTGGACCGCAAGGGAAGTGTGTTCGAGCTGCTGGAGGTGAGTAGTGTAGGCGGGTGAGAGAGGTGAGTTGCAGCACTCTCCCTTGTCGCAACACAACAGCCCACTTAGTGCTCTGCTGGCGGGCTGCCCTTGCTGCGGCTCTGCCGGGGGATGGCGGGGATAAGTCAAAGCTGGACCGCAAGGGGAGTGTGTTCGAGCTGCTGGAGGTGAGGTGGTCTCACTGGTCAGTGGGGGTGTGGTTGGATTCTCTTTGTGGGCCCTTCTCATGCTCCGCTGGAGGGCTGCCCTTCTCTTTGTGGGCCCTTCTCATGCTCCGCTGGAGGGCTGCCCTCGCTGCTGCTCTGCCGAGGGATGGCGGGGAGAAGTTAAAGCTGGACCGTAAGGGGAGCGTGTTTGAGCTGCTGGAGGTGAGTAGTGGGATGGGACCAAATGTGATTGTTTGAGTTTACTAGAATATCCTCCCTTGAAAGTTTGTTTGGGTTACAGTTGCTGGCATCGCATGTCGGACGGTGGTGACGTGATAGGCAGTGCAATTGCAGCTGGGCCTGAGATGACTGAAAACCATGTAAGGTAGTAGATGTGCACTCTAGACCATAACCCTCCCTTCCACCACACCCCCTCCCTTTTCCCGTGATGCTTTGGCTGCAGTTGCTGACATCGCTTGTCAGGCGGTGGTGAGGTGATAGGTGGTGCAATGGCAGTGTGGCCTGAAGGGTTTGAGAACCCCGTAGGTAGAAGATGTGCATCCTTTAGTGTACCCAATTGTACTGTATATCGCTTACGGTACAGGGAGAATAACCTGTAGCCGGACAAGCACACAAATAGTGCAGCTTGGTGCAAGTTTTTCACTGTGTTGGTGGGAGGGTAAGTTGGGATGGGGTACGGAGAGGCAAGTCATGTGATGCATGCCCAATCATGTGACATTTTCCACAATGTATGCACTAATACATGAGCATCAGTTTCAGGATCATGTAATGCTAATGCTCCATATCAACCTTGGCCTTATTGAAGAGTTCAATGAGTTCCTGCCCAAGCAATAGCTGTAGTATCCAGAAGGGCAAAAGGGAATGGTCTTATAACATCATAACCAGTACCGTACCGAGTGTTCTCGGAGATACCATGTCAATATTATAATAACTTGAGCGAACCTCGTTATTGTCCTCCTCACAGCCAGAAGCTTCGCTCACTCGCCCGCTTTCGCCAAGCTCTGTGGGAGCCGGGGCACATGCGAACGTGTCGCACGTTATCTCAATTCGCGGCTGCGGACTGGCATCGTACCCTCTTGACACCCTATCGATCGTACCAGTCAGTGTAAAGCTCTTCTACCTCGGGAAATGGTGCAACTGTGCGGAGGAGGAATGAGGGACGGGCGGAAATGCAGAGTAAGGAGGCGAGAGGCAGTCTGTGGATCATGAAGGTCATGCAGGAGAGGCAGTGATGAAGAGAAAGAGTGCAGTTTGTCTCGAACTGTGGAGATAATGTGGGTGTCCGATCCGATAGGCACTCCTGCAACCGTGAGACCGTTAGGGGCAATGATGATGTCTGATGGAGGTGTGAGGTCCGAAGGGAGGTCCAAAGGGGCCCAGAGGGAGCATTTTGATGGTTGCACCCTCAGGCCCAGGTCATTGAGACGGGCTGTAAGCGCTGTGTAGGCAGGAAACACGTCATGCGCAGGACCGACCATGTACGTGTCGTCTGCGTAGGAGGTGATGAAAAGAGCTGGAGATTGACGCTGGATGGGGCGAATGGCTAGGTGCTGGGTGAGGGCGAACAAGAATGGCCCGCATGGGTCACCCTGTCGAACACCCGATGATGACTGCAGTGTCTCGATTAATGGGCCGCTGCGGTAATGGAGAGAAGAGGGGGAGGCATAGAAGAGGCGGAAGAAAGGGATGAGGCTGGAGAACGGGGAGTCTCGCAGGGCGTTGAACATAGCGGAACGGCTGAAGGAGTTGAAGGCGTTGGCAACATCCAGTTCCAGCACAACCCACTCTGGGTGGAGGGAGAGGGCCGACTGGACTGCATGGGCCATAACCTCGATCCCTGCGGAGACGGCGACCCCAAATTGTAGGGAGGGAAGGAAGAAGTCCCGGATCTGCTGCTTGAAGTGAAGAGTAACGCAACGGGACAGCAGGCGCGGCAGTATCTCGCCGATGGCGATGGGGCGGACCCCTCCATGCGGCTTCTGGAGGGCAACAAGATTGGATGCGGTGAAGTAAGGTCGAACTGTTTGCGGGAGGTCGCCTTGCAGCCAATTCTGGAACAGGCGGAGAAGATGCGGCAGATGAGTCTGGTACGAGAGGAAGGTGTCGCGAAGATGCTCGATAAGCCACCCCGAAGGGCCAGCAGCTGTGCCTCGTGGGGCTGAACGCAAGGCCTGATGAAGAAGTGGAATGGTGAGCTGAGGCACTTCCGAAGGCGAGAAGTCGGGCAGCCAGTCTGGAAGTTCTTCGGTAGCAGGAGGGTGCTTGGCCTTAAGCGCAGTAACAGTTTCAGGGGTCTGTGGGGCAAGCTCGCCAGCTTCTAAAGCGGCAAGGGAACGCGACCAGTCCCCGCAATGCGCGAATCGTTTGGCTCGGTTCAGTCGGGCGAACGTGGCTGTGGACCGGGCGGATGAGACACTGTGCGGTCGAGACGCTGGAACGGCAGCAGCGACAGCTTCGTTGAAGAGAGAAAGCCAGTCGCCTTGAATGAAACGACGTGCAAAGGCTGCACATGCTGCTGTGGCTGATTGTGAGGCAGGAGAAATGGAAGAGCGAAGCACCAGACGGGGGAAAGCAAGGAGGAGGAAATGAGCAGCAGGATCTTGCGGGAAGATGGCAAGGCGGCGAAGTGGTATGAGTAAAGCATCCAAGACCAGCAGGCGAGCTCGCGGCGGAATCCGACGCAACAGTGTGCCTGGGGTGACAGTGGGACTGAAGAACGTCCCCCAGTCCCAGGTTACGACAGCGTCCCAAGTCTGTTGAGATATCGGTGGGGGTGCTGTAGAGGAGGAGGGAGTAGTAGTGGCACGAGGAGGAGGAGGGCGGACTGATTGCTGACGCGTTGTGTTGTTGCGGGAACAAGCAGAGAGGTGGCGAGTAAGACCACCCGAGCTGGCAAAGTTACGATTACAGGTTTTGCAGTAATATGTTGGGGTCGGGACCGAAGTGGGCAAAGGAGAAGAAGAAGAGGCTGCACCAGGATGCGGAGCAGATGTCGAAGCAGGAGGAGGAGCAGAAGGAGGAGGTTGTGAAGTTTGCGCAGCTGCAGGTTCAGGTTGGCGAGAAGCGTGCTCTTGGGAGGAGGAGGCTAAGGTTTCTGTAAGGACTTTATGAAGTACGGTCTTCTGTTGTTCTGAAACAAAGCGTGGTGGGGCTGATGACTTAGGGTGTTGAGAAGAAGAGGCTGGGGGTTGTGGAGTATCTGATTCTGGCAATGACGAAGAACGGTGTGTCGTGGCAGAGTCAGTAGGGAGGGATGACGGACGTGGGCGTAAAGGTGGCTGTTGAATCGGTAGGGTTGCAAAAGGTGGGGATGAACGCGAGCGGTTAGGAGGACGAGAGGGATGTGGGTCCCGGTCTTCAGGCGTCCTGTCCCGCTTACGGTTTGCCATGGTGAGGAAGTGGATTAGAAAGATTCATATGTTGTGCAGTTAGTGGTTTAACAAGTGTGTCAAATTCGCGTTTTGGGAGAGGTAGTAGCGCGGATGCAGCAACGAGATATCATGCAGTGCAGAAGAGGTTTTTGTCGGTAGTTGGGGCCGATCGTGCTGCTGCCAAGGTGCAACGTGCTGGTGCTTGCGCAAATTGAAACACGTGGAAGTGGAGTCGTTTGTGGAAGGTGCAGGTTGGGAGGGTGGGGAAATTCGCGAAGGTGCCAGTCGTCGTTGGGGGTAGAAACAGGTGTAGGCAGGCGTCGTGCTGTCCCCCAGTGCTCGATTACTAGCAAAAACCACGCCGTCGCCGAAGGAACTCCTCTCCGCGTCGGACGCTAGTGAGTCTGTCGAGTGAGCTAAGGGAGGTGCCGACGTGGAGAAGCACTGTCAGAGTAGTAGCACGATTCGAATTTCGTCCGTAGCACTGTCAGGGTAGTCGCGCGTAGGGTTTCTCGCAGTTTTAGTGTATGCGTGCAAGTCACGGCGCGTATTTACAGTACAAAAGAAGGTGCAAGGTCGCTGTTTTCGCTCCTTAGCGGTGAGTAGTGAGTTCTGCTGCTTTACTCGAGCGAGCAGCAAGGCGAACTACGAAAACGAAGGGCGTTCTAGCGCCTTAAACGTTGCTGCAGCGAGCTTGAGTGACGGTGAGGCAAACTACGAAAACGAAGGGCGTTCTAGCGCCTTAAACGTTGCTGCAGCGAGCTTGAGTGACGGTGAGGCAAACTACGAAAACGAAGGGCGTTCTAGCGCCTTAAACGTTGCTGCAGCGAGCTTGAGTGACGGTGAGGCAAACTACGAAAACGAAGGGCGTTCTAGCGCCTTAAACGTTGCTGCAGCGAGCTTGAGTGACGGTGAGGCAAACTACGAAAACGAAGGGCGTTCTAGCGCCTTAAACGTTGCTGCAGCGAGCTTGAGTGACGGTGAGGCAAACTACGAAAACGAAGGGCGTTCTAGCGCCTTAAACGTTGCTGCAGCGAGCTTGAGTGACGGTGAGGCAAACTACGAAAACGAAGGGCGTTCTAGCGCCTTAAACGTTGCTGCAGCGAGCTTGAGTGACGGTGAGGCAAACTACGAAAACGAAGGGCGTTCTAGCGCCTTAAACGTTGCTGCAGCGAGCTTGAGTGACGGTGAGGCAAACTACGAAAACGAAGGGCGTTCTAGCGCCTTAAACGTTGCTGCAGCGAGCTTGAGTGACGGTGAGGCAACGCTTCGAAAATTTAATGCACTAATATATCGATCAGCCCGTGTCCTGATGGAAATGCAGTCAGGAGAGCAGCAGGAGCTGCAGCCAGGGGAGCAGCAGGAAATACAACGGGGGGAGCAGCAGGAAATGCATCCAGGAGAGCAGCAGGAAATGCAGCCAGGGGAGCAGCAGGAAATGCAGCCAGGGGAGCAGCAGGAAATGCAGCCAGGGGAGCAGCAGGAAATGCAGCCAGGGGAGCAGCAGGAAATGCAGCCAGGGGAGCAGCAGGAAATGCAGCCAGGGGAGCAGCAGGAAATGCAGCCAGGGGAGCAGCAAGAACTGAGGCTGGAGGAGCAGCACCCGGGAGAGCAGCAGGGGCAGCAGCTGGGCACCTGGGTGGGTGATACATGGGAAGTCATGGGTGTAGCGAGCCCACTTCGAGTGGAGCAGCAAGAAATGGAGACAGATTTGGTGCCTGTGTCACAGCTCTCGGGCCACAGTGGGGAGCACCAACAAGATCTTTTTGTTCCTCCTGGGGAGCTGCAGATAGGGGAAACGGATCAGAGAGGGCAGCAGCTGCGTGAGCTGGGCGCTCAGGCGCAGGGGCCCTTGGACGACCAACTGCCACGAGGCAAGGGCAGGAGGCGACGCGGAGGCCAGGGCAAGCAGCGGTCGGGCAATCAGCAGGATCAGCAGGCAGAGGGCGAGTTGGGGCGGCCGCTTACGAGCCAACGTCCGGGAGGCCAGCTGGTGCGACGGCGGCCACTGTCAGGGGAACAGGGAGTGACTGCAGCACCTGAGGGCGTGCAGCAGGCAGGGGGACAGCAGGGAGTGACTGCAGCACCCCAGGGCGTGCAGCAGGCAGGGGGACGACAGGGAGTGACTGCAGCACCTGAGGGCGTGCAGCAGGCAGGGGGACAGCAGGGAGTGATTGCAGCACCTCAAGGCGTGCAGCAGGCAGCGGGACAGCAGGGAGTGACTGCAGCACCCCAGGGCATGCAGCAAACAGCGGGACAGCAGGGAGTGACTGCAGCACCTGAGGGCGTGCAGCAGGCAGGGGGACAGCAGGGACTGATTGCAGCACCTCAAGGCGTGCAGCAGGCAGCGGGACAGCAGGGAGTGACTGCAGCACCCCAGGGCGTGCAGCAGGCAGCGGGACAGCAGGGGGTGACTGCAGCACCTCAGGGCGTGCAGCACGCAGGGGGGCAGCTGGGGGCGAGGGCAGCACTTCAGGGCGTGCGGCAGCGGCAGCAGCAGCGGCAGCAGCGTCAGCAGCAGCAGCAGCAGCAGCCCCCCCCGATCCCTCCGGAAAGCCCCACACCGGGGGTTGCGGAGAATTCAGCCACTCCTGACACGGCTCCACTTGCTCCAACTTGTGTCCCTTGCGAGTTCTGCTTTCACACATTTCCGCCTGGTGGTGCGGCCTCCCGCCACATAGTTGCATGTAAAGCGGCAGATGCTCAGCGGCGGGCTCAGGCCCTTACTTCCTCCCCGAACCTGAGCGAGGTCTTCGGGGCAGATCCAGTACCTTCGCGGGATATCGGCGAGGAGGTGTGGGGGGCGGTGCCTTCGTGGGACTGGGAGACTTTTTTCAGTATTCATTCTGTGTCGGGAGAGCTTCTTCGTCGGGTCCCGCAGCGGGCGCGACTGGGGGTGCTTGATGCATTGTGCTGTATTCTCAAGAGACTGAAGGCTTCCCCTGGGGATGAGGCGGCGACGCTGATGTTCCTGGCCTTCCCGCGCCTCATTTTGGGAGTCCCCGCGAAGGAGGGTCTTGGACGAAGGGCAGCCATAGTAGGGCGTCTCGGAAAGTTCTGGGCAGGGGAATGGCAACAGCTGTTCGAGGCTGCCTCTGCCGCGTTGACTCCGGCGGCGCGACCTCTTGCCTTCTCCTTACCTGAGCGAGATGCTGATGCCATCCGTTTGGCCCGATGTCGCACGAGGTGCCAAGTGGGGGAATGGAGTCGAGGACTAGCATGCCTTACTGCGGGCGACTTGGCGCAGCCCTCTCAACTAACAGTAGACCGGCTGACAGCAAAGCACCCGGCCAGTGAGGTGCCAGTTCCTGAGTGGGTGGAGCACTTTCGCATAGACGTTTCTCATCTTCCCCACCTAACTGAAGACATCCTCAAGCATGCTATTCATTCCGCAGCGCGAGCCTCAGCACCAGGCCCCTCAGGATGGATGACAGAGCACCTCCGAGACACATTTCTCTCGGAGCCTTCCTATCTCCCGCATCTGTTGGAGGTGTTCAGGCAGTGGATTTCGGGATGCGTTTCTGAGCGGGTGCGGCCCTGGCTTGCAGCCTCGAACTTGGTTGGGTTATCCAAGCCGAACGGGGACGTCCGCCCAGTGGCTATCGGAGAGGTGCTCCCTCGGATTCTGGCGCGTGCGTTATGCGTTCTTCTTCGTCCCGACATGGAGACCTACTTCGCTCCTTGTAACCAACTAGGGGTGGGGACTAAGTCGGGGGTGGAGATTCTGGCGCATGCTTTCCGCTCGGCTGTAGCGGTTCATCCGACGTGGTGCGCGCTGCAGATCGATGTAGCGAATGCCTTCAACTCGTTCCATCGGCACGTGATGTTCGACGGCCTCCGCGATTCTCCTTTTGCTGGCCTTATCCCTTTCTTACGCGTCTTTTATGGGGTGCCCAGCGGTCTGTACCTTCGCACAGGCCCCTTTGTCGAGATGCTGGCGTCCGAGCGGGGTTCGCGACAGGGGGATCCATTTGGTCCCTTCCTTTTTGCTTTCACGCAGCAGTTGGTTATGGGGCCTACAATGAAGGATTTCCCTGATCTTCTTTTCTTGAGCTACGCTGATGACACCTACGTTCTTGGCCCGCGGGAGCGGGTGTTGGCGGCGTACGATGTCTTGCGGGAGCGACTGGAGTGGGTGGGCTTGGAGGTGCAATCGCAGAAGTGTAGGATGTGGGAAAGAGGGGAGGCGGCAGCGTCTGGGGATATTCCGCTGGGAATGCAGCAGTCGTGGACGGGGTTAACAGTGGTGGGGGTACCTATTGGAGAGGAGGATTGGGAGGTGGCGCGCTTGAGGGAGAGACTTTTGCAGCTGCGATCACCTCTACCTTGGCTTTTTATTTTGAACCACCCCCAGATTGCCTCCCACTTGTTGGCTGTTGCCGTATCTGCGCGGCCGCTCTTCTTGACTCGCACTGTTCCCCCTCGTCCTGAGGTTCTTGACGCTTTCAGAGATTGGGATGGGGCTTTGGAAGAGTGCTTTGAGCAACTTTTCCCGCTAGACACTTGGGACTTCAGTCCTGATAGGTCGCGCATGGCTCACCTGCAGCTGCACCTCCCGGCTCGTTTGGGCGGGTTTGGCATTCGTTCAGCAGCAACTCTTAGCCCTCTCTCTTACGTCTGTGGGTGGTGCCAGGCTGCGAGTGCTGTTGTCAAGCTGGGAGTAGCGGGCGAGGAGCAGATGTTCAGTGAGTTCTTCCGCACTCCGCCGGCTGGGGATTTACTGGACCCTTGGTTTACCAAGGCCCTTGACCAGCTCCCGCCTGTTGTCAGGCAGGAATTGCCGAGTTTGGGGCTCTGCACTACAAATCCCCCCCTCCAGCTTTTCCCAGCGCAGCAGCGTCGCTTGGCGGTTGAAAGTCTTCAGTCTCTGCGGCGCATGGCCCGCGATGATGCTACCTTGGCCCGTTTGACTTCCCTTCAGGGCCCGGGTTCGGCAGCATGGGTGTCCGCAGTTCCAGCGCATGATGACGCAACTTTCACCCCTGTGGAGTGGGGCATTTCGGCGGCAATCCGTTTGGGCCTTCCCGTCCACCAGCTTCTGGTTGCTGGCAAGTGTGTTTGCGGTGTGGAGTTCAAGGACCCGTCAGATCCGCACCATGCTCTTCGGTGCAAGTACCAGTATGCCCCGTCTCGTGTTCATGATGCAGTGAAGCTCGTTGTTGCTAAGATAGCCAAGGCATCGGGTGGGGTGGTTACGATCGAGGATGACACGCTTCTGCCGGGGAAGAGAGTGGATGTGGCGGTTAGGAAACCAATGGACGGGGAAAAACATGCGCTCGAGGTGAGCGTCGTGGATCCGGTTTCGCTACCGGTGCAGCAGCATGGGCAGTGTGGGCGGACAGTAGGTTTTGCTGCCAAGGAGCGAGAGAAGAGGAAGGCGACGGATTATCAACCTTTTCTGCGGCAGCATAGGGGGGTTCGTTTCTTCCCGTTGATTCTTGAGACTTGGGGTTGCTTGGGGGGAAGCTTTCGACAGTGGTTACGGCAGCAGGGGGAGGTTCAAGTAAAGGTGGCTCTTAACAAAGGTGTGGGAAGGGGCAACAGCTCGGGTTTCTCGGAATACTTGGTGGGGTCCTTGACAGCCGCAGTAGGGGTAGCTTTGCAGAAGGCACAGGCTCGGGTGATTCTTTTGCGGGCGGCATACACGTTGGGTCAGTCCGAGGCGGAGTGGGTGGAGCGAGGGGGTGGGGAGCAGGAGTTTGGAGAGGGAGCACCATGGGTGGACGTGCCCTACTTGGTCGACATGCGGCTGTAGATGTCTTAGGAAGCAATACTTTGTTTCGGGTTTTGGCGATGGTCTTTTGATGTTTGAGGTAGTAAGACACTTCTAGGAAGGGTTTATGCATGTCTGTATGCTTGTTGAAATGTAACGAAGCATGATTCAACAATCAGCAACACATTCATTGACGAAATAGAAATCCGCCGCGGTAACCGGATGTCGCAAATGTTCTCCTTTTCCAGAAAAAAAGGCAGAATCAGGAAATGCGCATTCGAACTCCATATTCTGGCCGCAGTCACGCTTCCTAGCAAGAGAGCGCGTGAATTAGTTCCTAACAAAGAAGGGCGTGAATTGGATTGTAACAAAGAGTGTGCGTGGATTGCTGCGGTGAATAGCACTGATTCTTCATTACATCGTAGCTGATCCTAGTAGTGTTTCTTTCATGGCCGTGTCTCAAGCAAGTTCGGGCAATGGGGGCGACACGGCGCACGCGAAGAGACTGATAGCTGAGCGTGCCCGCGCTGACGCGGAAAAGGCTAGAGCTGCGGCGGAGGAGAGGCGCGCGGAGGCTGTGAAAGCACGCGCCGAGGCGGAAAGCAAGCAGCAGGCGGCGGAGGAGAAGCGAAGTCTGGCGGAAGAAAAGCGGAGGGTCGCGGAGAAGGCCAAAGAGGAGGCGCACGCTCGGCAGGCGGAGGCGGAAAGCGCGCAGGCGGAAGCGGAGAGGAAGGCGGAGGCAGCAGCGCAGCGGAAAGCGGAGGCGGAGGAAGCGAAGGAGCAGGCGAATGCGGCGAAGCAGCGCGCGGTGAGTGCGCGGGAGGAGGCAGATGCGAAGAGAGAGCGGGCGGAGCAGGCGAAGGCGGAGGCTGATGAGAGGAGGGAGCAGGCTGAGCAAGCCAAGGCAGCGGCAGACAGTAAGCAGGCTGAGGCGGAGCGAGCGAGGGAGGGAGCAGAAGCGGCGAGAGAAAAAGCTGTGAGCGGGAGGGAGGTCGCGGAGAAAGCCCAGCAGGAGGCGGAACAGGCGAAGGAGGAAGCGGAGAAGGCGAGGGGCGAGGCGAAGCAGGCTCAGGAGAAGGCGGAGGCTGCTCGGGCTGCTGCGGAGGTGAAGAGGGAAGAGGCTGAGAAGGCGAAGAAGAGCGCGCGGGCGCGTCTGGAGGAGTTTGTAGCGCTGAAGGAAAGGGCTGCTGAGGCAAGAGCTGCGGCGGAAAAGGAGCACGCGGAGCTGGAGAGGCGGAAGGGCGAGGCGGAGAGCGCGCGGGAGAAGGCGGAGGCGCAGAGGAGGGATGCTGAGGAGAAGAAGCAGCATGCTGAGAAGGCAAAGGAGGAGGCGGATCGGAAGAGGAGCGAGGCGGAAAAGGCGAAGGAGGAGGCTGGGAGGGCGAAGCTGGATGCGGAGAGGGCGAGAGAGGAGGCGGAGAGGAGGAAGGAGGAGGCGGAGGGGAAGCGGGGTGAGGCGGAGAGGAAGCAGCAGGAGGCGGAGAGGTTGAGGGAGGAGGCGGAGAAGGGGAGGTTGGCTGCGGAGCAAGCGAGAGCGCAGGCTGAGCAGGCGAGGGAAAGGAAGAAGGAGCTGGAGCTGAAAACTGTGGCAGTATGAAAATAATTCTGGATTTTAGGAGCTCTTTGAGGTAGTATTTATTTTCTCAAGTTGCTGCGGGCAGCAAGACAATCAGTGGGCATGGTACTGATTAAGATGGTGTCTAGGGAGAGTTGTTAGCAGTACATACCGCTCCAATGTTGGATAGAAGGGAGGTGTGGTTGTCAGAATTATCAGAATTATCTGACTGGGATCTGGTTGCCAGCTATGACCTCTTATGTTTTAATAGAAAATGCTGTACCAGAAAATTCTGCACGATTTTGCATGATGCTATTGAAAGCAAAAAATTATGTTCACGCAATCAGAATGTACACCTCGTTGTTATCACTTCAGCGAAAACATGTTTCTTCGCACGCTCCTCGCAACGATCTCATCCAGGAAGCTCGACGTGGAAGCCGTGCCGCGACGATGTCGTTGCTCTCACGGCGCAGTCACAAACTACTGGTTAGGCTCGGCATTCGAACCTCAACAACAGATTCAGCAACCAGCCCCTCTGTCATACGATTGGCTCTCATAAAGGCCCAAGCCACAATCTCCGTGATAATCATCCCCTTCCCTCCGAGCCTATATTTCTGGCGCAAGCGGGGCTTCTCGCCGTGGCGAGGTGAAGGTAGGTGAGAAACCAAACCTAAGAACCCTTGTATGTGTAGTAGGTTCGACAGGGAGCAATACCAGGTCCTGCCCAGCCACGAAGCGACAAAACCTAGGTCCTGAATCTTGAGCCTCGAAAGTCTTCCTGACCTAGAAGTTGGTTGGGAAGGAAATAGATGGGCGAAAACAGGCCTGAGCTGTGGAAGAAGGGTGAGGTGGGGCAACTCTCAGAGATTGACGCGCGAACAAGTGGAAAGATACATCAGCTATCCGTGTGTTTTATTATGCGTCATTTGCGGTTTCAGCTTTCAAGATAGAGCTTGCGAGGCCTGACTATACGTGTCCTGTTTTAGGAGTGCTCTTGCCATTTTCGCTGCAATTGAGTGCACTAGTAAGCGTGTTCGGTCAATCGTTTGGCTTTGCAGCGCAAAGTTCTCTACTCTATCTTCGTATAAGACTTTTGGGATCGAATAACCAGAATAATAGGCCAATTTTACAATATTGTTATTTTAGAGCTTCCCCTTGTTTCCTGCCAGCTATTCCGTTGTGACAACGTCCATCGCAATATCCCTGCCCAGAAGTTGTGTCGGTGCTTCCAGGATCCCTTCTGTCCAGTCCCCAAACTTCCGAAGCCCTGAAATATTATCTCTCAATCAACTTCTAGGTCCTTCGTTCTACACACACGCTACCAATGTCGGACGCGGAAGAAGCGGAAAACGCGCCGCTTGAGGAGGTTCCACAGGGGGAGGCGGCTGAAGCCCCTGCGAAAGAAGCAGCAGGCGATGATGGTGGTGGGGGGGAAGGAGAAGGAGGAGGAGGAGAAGCTGAGGGGGGTGGGGATGAGGGAGCGGTTGAGGAGGAAAGTGCCGAAGAAGTGAAGGAGGATGCAAATGGAGAGAAGAATAGTGAAGAGGGAAAGGCGGCTGATGAAGAAGAAAGGGTAGAAGCGGAAGTTACACCTGCTGAAGCAGGTGATGCAAGTGAAGCAGGTGAACAGAGTGGAGCAGGTGACGCAGGAGAAGCAAGCGACTCAGGAGAAGCGACTGAAGGAGGTGAAGCAAATGAAGAAACTGACGAAGGTGAAGCAAATGAAGAAACTGACGAAGGTGAAGCAGCAGAAACAAGCGAAGAAGGGAAACCGACAGGAGAGGCTGAAGCAGTTGAAGATGCTGAGGCAGTTACTGAAGAAAAGGAGAAAGATAAGGCGGAAGAGGTGGCTGCGGCGGCTGAGGAGATTAGCGAGGCGGAAGCAGAGAGCGCAGCTGATGGGACGACAGAGGCGGAGGCCGGCGATGCTGTGCCGGCGGAAGCCGAGCAAGCGGAAGGGGAGGAGGCGGAAGGGGAGCAGGCGGAAGGGGAGCAGGCGGAAGGAGGGGACGATCAAGGGAGCGACAAGGGGGAGGCTGAGGATGCAGAGGCGGGTGTGACTGAACCGGGAGGGTCTAACGCAGAGGAAGTAGCTGCGGAAGAGGCTGCTACAGCCGAGGCTACAGCCGAGTCGAGTGCAGAAGCAGGTGGGCAGACCAACGACGAGGCGAGTGGGGAGGCGAGTGGGGAGGCGAGTGGGGAGGCGAGTGGGGAGGCGAGTGGGGAGGCAACTGGTGAGCCGGGTGATGCTGCTGGTGGAGGTGAAGGGGGAGAACTGGAGGGAACGACGAGTGATGGGGAGTCACGAGCGGCAGAAGGAGAGATGGGGGACGAGGCGAAGGAAGGTGATACAGGGGACGGGACGGTGGAGGAGAAAGGCGAGGAGGAGAGCGCAGGAGGACAAGGAGAAGGAGAGAAGGGAGAAGAGGAGGGAAATGGCGAGGAGGTGAGAAACGAAGTGGGAGCGGGAGGGGAGGAAGATCGAGGAGAGGAGGAGGGAGGAGAGCGGAGAGAAGGAGGAGGAGAAGGAGAAGGAGGAGAAGAAGGTAGTGAAGCGGCAGCTGTAGGGGACAGCGGCGAGACTGAAGGGAAGGGGGCGGCGGAGGAGGCGGAGGTGGATAAAGAAGAGGTTGCGGAGGAGAAGAACGATGACGTGGCATCTGTGTCGTCAGGTGGCGGCGATGGGGAGGATGAACGGGCAGGTGAAGAAACCGAAGAGAGAATACAGGATGGGGAGATGGGGGCTGATGAGAGAGGGGAGGGCGAGAAGGGGGAAGAGGAGGAGAGTTCTGTGACAGGGGGGCTTGGAGCAGAGATGGGTGAGTCTAAGCCGCAGGAAGGAGCAGAAGACGAAGTGAAAGAGGAAGCAGCGAGTGGGGAGCTATTGGAGGGAGAACAAGGGGAAGGGGATGAAACGGGAGAGAAAGAGGTGGGTGGGATGGAGGAGGAGAGGGAGGAGGAGGCAGTGACGATTCAAGTCGACGGTGAGAATGGGAAGGAAGAAGAGGAGAAGGCAGAGGTGGAAGCGGCAGTGGAGGCTAATGGCTTGCAGGTAGAGGAAGGGAAAGAAGAGAAGGAGGAAGAGGGAGGAGTGGAAGAGGGAGAGGGGGAAGCTGGTGCAGGGCAAAACCATGTGAAGGATGGAGAGGGGAGTGAGGAGGGGAGTGAGAAGGGGAGTGAGAAGGGGAGTGAGAAGGGGAGTGACAAGAGTGAGAGTAGCAGTGACAGCGATAGCAGCAGCGAGAGTGGGAGTGACAAGGAAGGGGATGACGATGAGAAGAAAGAGAAGAAGGATAAAAAGGAGAAGAAAGATAAGGAGGGTAAGAAAAAGAAGAAGGATAAGAAGGATAAAGAGGGCAAGAAGGGTAAGAAGGACAAAGGAAAGAAGAAGAAGAAAAAGGATGAAGACGAGGAAGAGGAAGAGGACGGGGATGACAAGGAAATGAAGTCTAAGATAGCTGAAGAAATGAAGTCCAAGATAGAGGCAATGGCCAAGATAGAGGCAATGGAAGCCTTGATGGCTGGGATGAAAACAGAAGCAGAGGTGCAGGCGCTGCTGCAGGCACAAGAGACAGAATGGGCCGCCCGTCTCGCCGAAGCCGAAGAAAAAGTCCAAAAGATGCGACTCCTGCGTCAAGCCTTGGAGCTACGAGCGTCTAAGGCGGAGGAGCAGCTGGGGAAGCTTAGAGAAGAGCTGGAAGCGGAGGAGGAGAGGAGGATAGCGGCGGAAGAAGCTAGGGACGAGGCGGAGGAGGGGCGGCGGGTGGCTGAGGAGGGGATGGAGGCGATGGTGGATGCTAAGAGGGAGACAGTGAAGAACCTCACAGAGAGTCTGCTGGCTTCGGAGGAGCAGAGGAAAAGGCTTGTTGCTGTGCTGCGATCGGTGAATGGAGGTAAGACTTGGGTTTTGGTGTGGTGTGCTTTGGTTTGGATTGGTTGGCTGATGAATTGGTTTGAATTGGTTTGGATTGGTTTGGATTGGTTTTGGTGGAGGGGATGGAGGCGATGGTGGATGCTAAGAGGCAGACGGTGAAGAATCTGACGGAGAGTTTGCTGGCTTCGGAGGAGCAGAGGAAGAGGCTTGTTGCTGTGCTGCGATCGGTGAATGGAGGTAAGACTTGGGTTTTGGTGTGGTGTGCTTTGGTTTGGATTGGTTGGCTGATGAATTGGTTTGAATTGGTTTGGATTGGTTTGGATTGGTTTTGGTGGAGGGGATGGAGGCGATGGTGGATGCAAAGAGGCAGACGGTGAAGAATCTGACGGAGAGTTTGCTGGCTTCGGAGGAGCAGAGGAAGAGGCTTGTTGCCTTGCTGCGATCGATGAATGGAGGTGAGTCTTAGGGTGTTGCTGGTGTGGTTTGGTGGTGTAACGTATTTGGGACTTGGAGGAGGGGCGAAGGGTGGCAGAGGAGGGGATGGAGGCGATGGTGGATGCAAAGAGGCAGACGGTGAAGAACCTCACGGAGAGTTTGCTGGCTTCGGAGGAGCAGCGGAAGCGGCTCGTTGCCTTGCTGCGATCGGTGAATGGAGGTGAGGGTTGAGTTGTTGCTGGTTTGCCTGGGGGGGAAATAGGCTCGTTGTCCTGCTGCGATCAGTGAATGGAGGTGAGTGGTGGGATGTGGTGTGTGGTTGAGTACGCTTGTGCACATTCTTTTGTTCACAGGTGGTTTAAAAAGAGGGGTTGATTACGCCAGTGGTATTTGTATTGCCACGAGTTATGACGGCACTTTAAGGAAAGGGAATGAGCAATGCTTCCCACATAAACGGTACATTATGCATCTAGCATGGGCTAAGAGGATCTCTAACCACTGCAAAACTGACGTCATGACAAGTGTGACGTCATGACAAGTGTGACGTCATGACAAGGGTGACGTCATGCCTAGTAAAGTCATGACTAGGATGACAGGTCACTGCACATGGTGACGGCAGCAAGCTGAGAATGCGTACAGTCGAAACGCAGAAATAAAGTTGTTGTTGGTCCTGCCCAACGCCACCAAGTTTGTTTCTGCTCATTGACTGTGCTTTGAGGCAGCTCAAGACTCGGTGCATAACAAGCTCCCTGTATGGATTTCGGTGGAATGTGGTGAATTGTTGTGGAATGTGGTGAATTGTTGTGGAATGTGGTTATGCAATGCTGCACATTGTGGTGACCATGCTGTCCTGTGTTAGGCCATGCCATGTTGTGCTGTGTCATGCCAAGTGCCATGTGTCATACCTTGCATGCCGCACGTCACCCTGTGCGCGCCTATGCCATAGATTGCTTTCCCTTTCTTTTGTATATCTTTTCTTTGCATGATGTCGCGGTATAAGCCCCCGGCGTGATGCAACAGGGCTCTTAGTAACGATCCCCTTCCCCCCCCACCCGTTCTCTCCTGTGCCACAGCAGAACCAGTCAAAATGGGGCACCTCACGTATGCGAATTCTCCTCAATGATTTCCCTTTCTCTCCCTCACACCCTCACCTCACCCTCTCACCTTTTCGATCTTCCATCCTGTCTCTGTCTCCTCTTGCAGACCAAAACCAGTCAGTATGGGGCACCATCATGTGTCGTGATTTTCAATATTGATGCTCTCACCCTCTCAACCCCACGACCCCTCCACCCCTTTCTCTCTCTGGCAGACCAAAATCAGTCAGTATGGGGCACCATCATGTCATGTGCATTCGCATAAATATTTTTCCTCTCTCCCTCACCCCTTCACCTTCTCGATCCCTTTGCACCCTGTCTCTTCTATGGCAGACCAAAACCAGTCAGTATGGGGCACCATCATGTCGTGTAAGTTGCCCCTAAACACTCTGCTCCATGTATCATGTGCCAACTCGTTAATTGGACCACTACCTTACACTGCATGCACACATGCCCATGATGAAATGCCTGTCATACTACCTGACTCCATCAGGTTGTGACCACCCGGGAGTCTGCTTGCCATCACATACGCCAGAGATTGCTTGTTGCTGCCCAATTTTTGAGATCTCAATAATGACACAACCTGAGCTTGCTTCTTGTTGCTGCATCTCTGCTGCTGCAAACGCTGCGCCTTGCTGCATGATCATAGTCATTGCAATGTCATCCCCATCCCTCTCACCCCCCACATCCCGCTCATCCCCCTCAACGTTCCCACCCCCCTCATCTTCGCCCTCATCTCCCCCGTGCCGCCATCTCAGTTTTCGATGCCAACAAGGCTTGAGGGCCGCTCATGCCAACAGCACCTGCCAATCCATCATGCCTCACCACCACCAGCAACCCTTGAATCAGCCATCTTGAGGTGGTTCCATAAGACTTTAGGCTTGAAGCAGCTTGACGTTGTGTGCTTTGCACTTAGCATGTGGTCTGCACTTCATGCTCTTTGCACCACCGGCCTGCAGTTTCCAACTGCTGGTTAGCCAGTCCTGCGAGTTTCCTGGAATTTCCCACAATAGGCTAGCACAGCTGGAAAGGAGGTTGGAAGCTCCAGTTCTGGTTGCGGGGGAATTCGGAAGCCGGTTTATTTTGAGACTTTCACGGCGTATGCAAGTCGAAGGAGCTTGTCTGTGTGTGGCTTTGGCAGTACAAGCCTCTCTCAAGCTGCTTTGCAGAGCGTCTGCCGCCACGGCTAGAGTTTAGCTACAAGGGTGGAGCTGCGTGCATGGCAGTGGAGTGGAGCTTTTGGTCCAGTTCATATTTCACTAACCGCATCTGCTCTGCTGCCACACCTCTTTCCGTTATTTATGTTGGAGTCGTGACTTGATTGATGCATATGTAGTGATCAGCTGCTAACATAGTTGATAGGGCTTATCTTTCTGAATACTTGTGAGTGCCTAATTATCTTTATGGGTATTCTATTACTGAATGTGTTCTATCGAAAAGAAGGAAAGGAACTACTCGGGGTTGTGATGTGAAAGGGCGTGGAACATCTGGAAATGTTTCCAAACGAGCCGTACCACCTGAACGATTGAATACTGTCTATTTGATAAATGCTATGCATAAGTGAGTTTTAGTACGTTTCAGAGCTGAACTTATCCGAACCGTACCGTTCGTTTGAAAACAAATCCAGATGTACCACGCCCTGAGGTTCGGACTGCCTGTTTCCTTGCCTCCTGTCCGAACCGCACCACTCCGGCTCGAACAGGAGGCAAGGAAACTGGCAGTCCGAACCTTGAACACTCGGAGGGAGCGTAGGGCCAAGATCAAACGAAGGTCAAGCTACGCACGCCATCAACTGTTTGTATGCAGGAAGTTCCTACAGTACAGTGAAATAAATACTAATCAAAAGTAAGTTACCATGACTCAATAAATACTACTGACTGCTGCTACAAAACCATCCTGCTAACAGTAATCCAGTCAAAGAAAAATCACGCTACTCCTAGAAATAACCACATAGAAAATTCATCCTCATGTCACTTGAAAACCCTTTTCAAAAAGCTGCGGCTTTTGAGCTCGAGCTCCTTGGTCTCCTCCAGCACATGAGGCGTGTGATTCTTTCGCCTGCTCCGCCTCCACCCTCGCCTGCTCCGCCTCCTCATGTTACTTGAAAACCTTCTTCGGAAAGCCGCGGCTTTTCAGCTCCAACTCCTTCTTGGTCTCTTCCAGCGCATGAGCCGTGTGATCCCTCGCCTGCTCCGCCTCCACCCTCGCCTGCTCCGCCTCCTCATGTTACTTGAAAACCTTCTTCAGAAAGCCACGGCTTTTCAGCTCAAGCTCCTTCTTGGTCTCTTCCAGCGCATGAGCCGTGTGATCCCTCGCCTGCTCCGCCTCCGCCCTTGCTTGCTCCGCAATCAACCTCCCCTTCTCCGCCTCCTTCGTCAACCTCTCCGCCTTCTCCCTCAACCTATCCGCCTCATCCCTCAGTCTCTCTGCCTCCTGCTGCTTCCTCTCCGCCTCATCCCGCTTCCCCTCCGCCTCCTCCCGCCTCCTCACCGCCTCATCCCTCGCACTCTCAGCATCCAGTTTCGCGTTCACAGCCTCTAGCTTCACTCTCACAGCCTCCTCCTTCACCCCTTCCGCCTCATCCCTCCTGCGCTCAGACTCCTCCCTAGCCTTCTCAGCCTCACTCCTCTTCCGTTCCGCCTCCTCTCTAGCCTTCTCAGCCTGCTGCCACTTCAACTCAGACTCATCCCTCTGCGCTTCAGCCTCCGCCCTCGCTCTCTCCGCCTCAGCCTTCAGCCTCCCCAGCTCCGCATGCTCCTTCTCTGCTGCAGCCCTCGCCTCAGCAGCCTCTCCCAGCAACGCCAGAGACTCCTGCAGACTAGCCCGTGCGACCTGCTTTGCTTTCTCAGCCTCTTCCCTCCCCTCCTCCGCATCAGCCCGCAGACCATCTGCTTCCTCGCGCAGCTTCTCCGCCTCGTCTCTCGCCCTCTCCGCTTCCTCCTGCGCCTGTTCCGCCTCCTGCTGAGCTTTCTCCGCAGCCTCCCTCGCCCTCACAGCCTCGTCTCTCTCCGCTTCTGCTGCCTCCCTCGCTCGCTCTGCCTCTGCCTGCTTCCGGTCTGCCTCTGCCTTGGCTTGCTCAGCCTGCTCCCTCTTATCATCAGCCTCTGCCTTTGCCTGCTCTGCGCGCTCTCTCTTCGCATCTGCTTCCTCCTTCTCCCTCACTGCCTGCTCCTTCGCTTCCTCCGCCTCCTCCTTCCGCTGCTCTGCTTCTCTCTCCTTCCTCTCTGCTTCACTCTGAGCCCTCTCCGCCTCTGCCTGCCTCGCTTCAGCCTCATCCTTTGCCTCCTCCGCCGCCCTCCTCCCTTCCTCTGCCTCCCTCTGCTTCTCCTCAGCCTCCTGCTGCTTACCTTCAGCCTCAGCACGAGCCTTCTCAGCCTCCTCTCGCTTCTCCTCTGCAGCAGCTCTCGCCTTCTCCGCTTCATCACGAGCATTCTCAGCTTCAATTCTCTTCCCATCAGCCTCCTCTTTTGCCTGTATGGCACTCTCCCTCTCCTTCTCAGCCTCCTCCTGCTTCTTCTCAGCAGCTTCCTCAGCCTTCACAGCCTCATCTCTCCTCGCCTCCGCCTCCTCCTGCCTCCTCTCAGCCTCCTCTTTCGCCTGTTCCGCCTCCTCCCTGACCCTCACAGCCTCGTTCCTCACCCTCTCCGCCTCCTCCCTTGCCTTCTCAGCATCCCTCATCCTACCCTCCGCCTCCTCCTGGTTCTTCTCCGCCACTGCCCGGGCCTCCTCAGCCTCTCCCTTTCTCATCTCCGCCTCCTTCCTCTGCTCCTCCGCATCTGCTTGCTTCCTCAGCGCCTCTTCCTTAGCTGCTTCCGCAGCATCTCTCACCCTCTCAGCCTCCTCTCTCGCAGCCTCTGCTTCATCTCTCACCTTCTCTGCCTCAGCCTGCCTTGCCTGCGCCTCCTCCCTCGTCTCTTCCGCCACCTCCCTTGCTCTCAGAGCCTCGTTTCTCTGCCTCTCCGCCTCGTCCCTCACCGTCTCCGCCTCCTCCTTTGCACGCTCCGCCTCCCCTTGCCTTGCCTCCGCCTCTGCCCGAGCCTGCTCCGCAACCTCCCTCCCCTTCTCCGCCTCCTCCTGTTTCCTCTCAGCCTCACCACGAGCACTCTCCGCCTCCTCCTGCCTCCTCTCCGCCTCCTCCCTCGCCTTAACCGCCGCATCCCTCTCAGCCTCCGCCTCTGCTCGTGCCGCTTCAGCAACCGCTTTGGCCTCCTCTGCCCGAGCCTTAACTTCCTCCGCCTCTCCCTTAGCCTTCTCTGCCTCGTCTCTCTTCCCTTCCGCCTCCTCCTTATCCCTCACAGCGTCCTCCCTTGCCCTCTCCGCCTCCTCCTCCCTCCTCACCGCCTCGTCCCTCCGCCTCTCCGCCTCGTCCCTCTTCCCCTCCGCCTCCTCCCTCGCCCTTTCCGCCTCTGCCTGCTTTCTCTCCGCCTCCTCCCGCCTCCCCTCCGCCTCCGCCCTTGCAGCTACCGCTTCCGCCTGAGCCTGCTCCGCAGCCGCCCTCCCAGCCTCCGCAGCAGCCTTGGCTTCCAAAGCTTCCTCCCTCCGCCTCTCTGCCTCCGCCTGTGCTGCTTCCGCCGCGCTCCTAGCTGCTTCCGCCTCCGCCTTAGCAGCCTCCGCTTCCGCCTTCGCCCCCTCCGCCTCCGCCTGAGCTGCTTCCGCCTCCCCCTGAGCTGCTTCTGCCTCCGCCTGCTTCCTCTCAGCTTCAACCCGCCCCTCCTCCGCCTCCTCCCTCTGCTTCTCCGCCTCTGCCCGTTCCTTCTCAGCAGCCTCTCTCGCCCTCTCCGCCTCCTCTCTCTCCCCCTCCGCATTCACCCTCGCTTCTTCCTCCTCCTGCCTTCTCTTCTCCGCCTCTGCTGCCCTACCCTCAGCCTCTCGCCTCGCCGTTTCCGCCTCCGCCCTCGCCTGTTCCGCCTCCTCCCGAACCCTCTCCGCCTCGTCCCTCTCCCTCTCCGCGTCTTCCTTCCGCCTCTCCGCCTCTTCTCGCGCCCTCTCCGCCTCGTCCTTCCGCGTTTCAGCCTCATCTCGCCTTGCTTCAGCGTCCTTCCTTGCCTCTACTGCCTCTTGCTCTTTCCGCTCTGCCTCACCCCTAGCACTCTCCGCTTCAGCTTGCTGCCTCTCTGCTTCCTCTCTCGCCTTCTCCGCCTCCTCCGCGCGCCTCTCAGCCTCAGCTCTTGCACTCTCCGCCTCAGCTTGCTTCCTCTCTGCTTCCTCCCTCCCCGTCTCTGCTTCCTCTCTCTTCCTCTCCGCCTCCTCCATACGCTTCTCAGCTTCAGCCTGAGCCGTTTCAGCCTCGCCCCTAGCCCGTTCCGCTTCCTCTCGCGCTGCTTCCGCCTCCGCCTTAACCTTCTCTGCTTCCGCCCGCGCAGCTTCAGCCTCGTCCTTGTCCTTTTCAGCCTCTGCCCTAGCTGCCTCTGCCTCTTCCTTATCCTTCTCAGCTTGCGCCCTCGCTGCCTCTGCCTCCGCTCTCGCTGCCTCAGCCTCTTCCTTATCCTTCTCGGCTTGCGCCTTGGCGGTTTCGGCCGCCTCACGCGCGCTTTCCGCCTCTACTCGCGCCTTTTCCGCCTCCTCCTTAGCCTGTTCCGCCTCGTCTCTCACCATCACAGCCTGCTGCCGCTCCGACTCCGCCTCCTCCCTGGCCCTCTCCGCCTCCTCCTGCTTCCGCTCCGCCTCCTCTCTCGCCGCCTCCGCTTCCTCTTGCTTCCGCTCAGCCTCCGCGCGGGCCGCCTCCGCCTGCTGCTGCTGCGCTTCCGCGGCCTCCCTCGCTCGCTCCGCCTCCTCTTTCGCATCAGTAGCCGCGTCTCTTGCATTCTCGGCCTCTTCCCTCGCCTTCTCAGCCTCCTCCTGTGCCGTAGCAGCATCTTTAGCTGTATTCTCTGCTTCCTCCTTCGCTTTCTCAGCCTCCTCTCTCGCCGCTTCAGCTTGCTGTCGCGCCTCCTCAGCTTCCGCGCGCGCCTCTTCCGCTTCCGCCCTCGCCTTCTCCGCCTCTGCTTTTTCTCCTTCCGCCTGTGCCCGCACCTGCTCCGCTTCCGCCCTCGCCCCTTCCGCCTCCTCTCTCGCCTTAACAGCCTCTTCTCGCTGCGCCTCCGCCTCTTCTCGTTGCGCCTCCGCCTCTGCTCGAGCGCTCTCCGCCTTCTCTTTCTCCGCCAACGCTTCTTCCCTTTCCGCCTCCGCCTCCTGCTGCTTCCTCTCCGCGTCAGCGCGAGCACTCTCCGCGTCAGCTCTCGCATTTTCCGCGTCAGCAGCAGCGGCCTCAGCCGCGGCCCTGCTTTCCTCCGCCTCCGCCTTCCCCGCCAGTGCCTCGTCCCGCGCCCTCTCCGCCTGCTCGCGCGCAGCTTCCGCCTCCTCCTTCCCCTTTTCCGCCTCCGCCTTCGCCCTTTCCGCCTCTTCCTTCTCCCCAACAGCCTGCTCCTTCATCTCCTCAGCCTCCTCTCGCTTCCTCAATTCCTCCTCCAAACACTTCTGAAGCTCCGCTTTCTCTCCTTCCACTCCCGCTTTCACCCTCAGCGCCTCATCTCGTTCCTGCTCCGCCTTCCTCCTCCCCTCCTCCGCGTCCCTACAAGCAGCCTCCACCAGCTCTTCCTTTCTCGCCTCCACCTCTTCCTTCTCCCTCATAGCCTGCTCCTTCTGCAATTCCGCCTCCTCCCTCGACTTCCTCGCCTCATCCCTCTCCATCTCCGCCTCTTCAAACTTCCTCTCCATATTCTCCTTCTCCTCCCGCACCTTCCCAATCGCCTCTAGAGCTTCTTTCTCCGAAGCCATGCGTTTCTTGTTATCCTTTGTAAGCTTCTCCACTTTCTCCTTTAAGCTGTCATGCACGAACTTATACTTGCCGAGATCCACCTCCATAGCCATAAACTTCTCCTCCATTTCCTTTAACTCCTTATCTTTTGCGCCCATTGCGGCGCCACTCCCTCCAGCAATCTTGCTTTCAGCCAATTCTTTCCTCAGATTTTCGATTTCTGCTTGCATTTCCCCAGCCGCATCCTCAGAAACTCCACCTCTCTTCCATGATTCAATTTCTTTCGTCATCTGCCCGATCTGCTCCTTTGCTGCCTTTAACTCCGCTTGCATGTTCTCCATTTTCAGTCGCATGTCCATATTCTTTATTTTCAGCTGCCCGAGCTCCACTTCCAAAGCCACACTGGAGTCTTTAGAAGCCCCCGAACCTGCAGAACTGGGTCCGCTTCGGGCCGAACCGGCAGTACTGGATCCGGTTCGGACCGAACCAGCAGCACTGGTCCCGGTTCGAACCGAACCAGCAGCGCTGGGTCCGGTTCGGGCCGAACCAGCAGCACTGGGTCCGGTTCGAATCGAGCCAGCCGTACTGGTTCCGGTTCGGCCCGACGCAGCAGGTACAGGGACGGCTCCCCCAGACTGAACGGACTTGTGCCGAAAAGACGGGACTCTATCGGCGACACTAAGCTTAGCGGTGGTCTTTTTCTCTGGTAACCAGTCATCGTTAGGTGACGCTCCATCTGCGAAACCACAGAATTGGCCGAAGGTGAGATAAACGTTATCACAGAAACAACAGAAGAGAAAAACTGCAGACCGTACCTTTTCCGGACATTGTTGCGAGTGCAATCGACGGTTGCCGAAATGCTATTGGTGCTTTAGGTAGTAAAACTGACCGCCAATGCCGTTGTCAGATACGGAAAGAAGGATAACTTGAGTCCTTAGATTGCAAGGAAGGTTGGGAAAGAAGGAATAAATAAAGAGGGGTCTTCAACTACGCAGTCAATGATCTAAAACCCTGTGATGACAGAGTTGCAAAGCGTCTCAGAACATTAGTCCATAATGTCCGACGAAAAGCGGCATTAGCTATTCCCGCCGTACAGCTTTATTAACCAAGACACTCAGTCCCTGGGTGAGCCTACCAATTCAGGGTGATGCAGAGATGGATAAATTGTCTGTGGTTGGATGAAGGGAAATAGCTCCTCGATGATCGAGTCTGGGGCGAAATGCAATTCCTATGTCTGCTGCCTCCAAGTAGCTGCCTATAATTCGTCGGTTGGGTTCGGTCGGAAGGCTGTTCAGGCGTTCTCAACGTAACAAAACGGAGTTTGGACGGAAGGGTGACGGATAGGGTAGCACCATTGCTTCTTGACTTGACGTGGAAGGCTTGTCGTGTGTGCTAGGCTGCCTCGGCACGTCGAGCCTAGCACCCTCTCAGCAAGCCACGTTCGGCAGTCACTAAGGTTCGTCCGAGACCACCCTGTAACGAGGAAGCAAGTTCGTGGACTGTTGATGTTTCTTTCTAAGATTCGTTTCTATACTCATGCCTGTATGTGTAGAAAATTGTAGTTATTTCATTTTGAAGGCATGAGCCGTTCAACGGCAACCGCCACGTCACCAATAAGCCATTTTTGGTTGGGTAAGTACATACTGGATGGGCTTCATTAAACAAACGCTGTTTCCAGTCCCAATTTCACTTATTTGGTGTGACTTTCTGCAGATTCTCATTTTCGAGACCCAGATTATTGTCACGTTTCATGTCTACGGGCGATTATTTTCGCCACGTGTCCATGCTCTTGTAGATTTCACGTGCCCGCAAAATTTACGTGCGACTGAACCAAATGTTGGTTTTTCAGGGTGTAACAAAACTAAAACTCATAGGGAACCAGGGACTACTTTCGATGCATCAACCCTAAACACCATGCCAGTTCCAGTGTTTAGGGTTGATCCCTTCCGAATTGTAACGCTTTCAGGTCGTCAACCTTAAACACCTGGCATCCCGTGTTTAGGGTTGATGCTTCCCGAAATGTGTCCGTGTCCCTAGGGGTTTATTTTTTGTCTGCTGCGTCAAAATGTTTCAGGGAAATCGCGTCGGACACGTGGCGAATATTTTTGCCTGTATCCATGAAACGTGACACTAATCTGGATGTCGCGTGTGAGAGTTCGTCTAAAGTACCACTCAATTAAAATAATAAGTAGTAAACACAATGTTCCAGTAATACCCACCCAGTATATTCTTACCCTTTTTTGTTCGGAGAAAGGGCTGGCCGCTTCGGTACTTCCCAGACCGTTTCCGTGCCTCCAATCAATCTCCCTCGTCCTCGCTCAGAGGTTTCTAGCCAGCCCTCACCGAAGAGGGCATCACCAGGCCTCACGGCAAGCACGTCCTCGCAAGGCCTGTCAATCTGGCTCGGAAGCATCACAACAAGCTGGTTCGGTTAGCCGCGCCGCAAAATGCAAGACATTTTGACATTGATGGCAATGTCGCACCACGAGAATTGTGCTGCACGCGACGAAAATGAGGAGGATGCACATCGTCTCTTGAGCTCTCTTTCGTCCCTAGTCCCCCCGACTTCCTTGTTTGCAGTGCTCAACACTTGACGTTCGTGGCGTCACCACACTTTCGTAGTACCAGAGCAGGCATGAGTCGCGCAGCAATGGCAGTAGAGCAACCGCCGTCCTCCAACAAAACTATGTCGGGTTTGCATTAGAAACTTGGTTAGTTTATGTTACAGCGGGTTCAGATTACCTGCTTACATGTTCAGATTGCCTGCTTACTTTCGTGTCTCCCACGTCCCCATCTACATAGGTTAATCGGAAACGTGAAGGGTATAACACCCATCGCCCATCCGTTTTGTACCGAATAGAGCTAGCAATGGCGGTCAACGTTACCCTCTCGGAACCAGAACAAGCAGCTCTCGCCAAAAAGATGGACTATCTCAAACGTCTCCATAACGCCGACGACGAGGACGACAGCAACGAGGATGACTCCGACGGGGGTTCAGGCGAATGCAGGATAATTAGGCGAGAACCGATCAAGAGCAGCGACAGCAGCAGCGGCGAAGGTTCCGATGACGGAACAAACAGCTCTGACGACGGCGGCCCTAGCGACGGCACTTGTGGCAACATTTGCGGTAACGGTACTAGTGCTGATGCAACCATTGGTTCGGCCGAGCCTGGCCCCAGCCCTGCCGCGTCCACGACTCGGGTCGGCGAAAGCGGCGGGTTCAGTTTCAGTCGAGACTACTTCAACTCGCTGTCAGCGGCTCGCGACGCCGGTAGCAGCAGCAGCAGCACCAGCCGGCGATCAAGTCTAGGCTCGTCTTTGGCTGCGAAACGGGAGAAGCAGGTGGAGAGTCGATTCTTGGAAATCGAGATGCAGAGTCGGTCGTCCCAGGCTGCTGGGGCGCATGACTGGCGCGCGGCTCTCAAAAACCGGGGCCGTTCTTTCCAAACGATGCACGACTGGGGCGCGAAGCAGGAGGAGCAGCAGCAGCAGCAGATGGAGAGTCGCGAGGGCGAACGTGCCGGAGACGGCTTGCCGGAAGCCGGTAGGCTTACCGGCAACTGGACCGGCCCGTCAGACGCCGGCAGGTTCACAGGCGGGGATCGCCCGTCGGAGACGGACAGCGGATCTTCCGACGTCAGCAGGGAATTATTGAACAACAACGGCTCGTCTTCTTACGTCAGCAGGTCAGCGGTTGCTGCGGCGTCTTACGAGGCGTCGCAAAGCCAGCGCGAGGCTTGTGAACCGGGCGCTGCTGCTAACTCCGCGCGGTCCGCGATGGAGGAAGTGCGACGCGTGGAGCGGAAGATGGAAGCCATGGAATCCAGGCAAGGAAAACTTGGATTGGATTGTGCTCTTGACTCGAAAGCTGATCGGTCGGACCGGGCGGTTGACGCGGATCGTCCTCTCGACTCGAACGCTATCGAACGTAAAATGGAAGCCATGGATCGCACCTTCGAGTCGCCTGAAGCGTCTTCTGACGCGCTACAGAATGACGCGTTACAGAATGACGCGTTGCTGAACAAAGCGGCTATGGAACGAGCGATAGAAGCCATGGAACAAATTGGCGCAAGTAGCGGCGGAGGCGGCGGGGACGAAGGAGCTGGTGGAATAGCCGGAGAGGGGGGCAGCGGAGACGCGGAGGGGGGAAGGCGGCGGGGGAGGGGGAAGGATGTGGCGGAACTCGAGAAGGAGGTTGAAGAGGCGAAGCAAGCATCGCACCGCATAGCCGTTATGTTCTACCAGCAAGACCAGGAACTTAAAGACCTAAGAGAGAATCACCTGGCGCTACAGGAGGATCACAAGCGCATATCGGTTCAGCTACAAGCGGCGCAGGCGGAGACGGACGAACTGTGGAACCAGCTGGCGGCGGCGTCCCGCCAGAAGGAGGCGGCGGAAGCTACGGCGGCGGAACTGCGCCTGAAGATCCGCATGCTCGCGGGGAACGTGGAGGAGCTGGAGGGGGAAGCGGAGGTCGCCGGGGGGTGGAGCGGCGGAGGAAGAGGCGGAGGCGGAGGCGGCGGCGGAGGTGGGGGAGGGGTTGGCGGAACGACTGCCGTGGAGGGGATTAGCAGTTTAGAGTCTGATTTGGTTGGCTTGCGGAAACTCAAGGAGCTAGAGTGGGAGTTAATATCCGCGCGAAGCGCGCGCGACCGCGCTATGACCGTCTTGGCGGGAATGAGAGAGGAGTGGAACAATCTCCGCAAACTGCGCTTGCAGTTAGACGCGCTGGCGGCTAGCAGGGAGGTTGCCGGCGGTTCTGCCGGCGCCAACGGCGGCCGCGGTGCTCATGCGACGAACCGCACAGCCAGGGGGAAGTTTGCCGGGGAAGACGTGCGGGAAAGGGCATATGGCGGAACGAGAAGGGGGGAGGAGGACTCGGGGGAAGCGGGAGGGGATGAGCTGTTGAAGGGAGTGGAGTCGGAGATTGCGGAGGAGGCGGACAAGTGGCGGAAGGTGGTTGGTCAGCTGCAGGAGGACCACGTGCGCGCAGTCGTGGAGGCGCAAGACGCGGCGGAGAAGTGCGCGGGCGCGCGGAGGCAGGCGGAAGCCGCCAGTGAAGAAGCGATGCGGCTTAGGCGGGACATCGAGCGCGTAAGAGAGGAGAAGACTATAGCGGAAGAGGATCTGAGAGATTTCCGCAAGGGGTGGAAGGACCTGGCCGGACATTTAGAGACATTCGCGGCTAAGGTGAGCGAAATGGATGCGGAATTAGCGGTGAAGAGAAAGGAGAGGGAGGTGATGGCGATGGAGATCGAACGGTCCGTGAAAGAGCGCGATCTGATGGCTGTGGAGATCGGACGGGTGAGAAAGGAGCGAGATTTTATGGCCGTGGAGATCGAACGGCTGCGAAAGGATCGCGATCTGATGGCGCTGGAGATCGAACGGCTGAGCAAAGAGCGTGATTTCATGGCGATGGAGATGGATCGGCTGAGTAAGGAGCGCGCCGAGGCCGAAGAATCGGCGGAACGCGCGCGGGCGGACATGTGGGGGGAGCGGGAGAAGCGGCTGGGGGAAGTGCAAGAAGCGGAGGAAAAAGCGCGGAGGATTGGGGAACGCGCGGGGAACGCGTTAGAAGCATACGCGGAAGAGAGAAAAGAGATTGAGAATATGTTACTGCACCGAGTGCAAACCTTACAGTCGGCGGTGGAGGAATTGCAAGGGCAGCTGGACGACGTGCAAGGCGCGAAATCCAGGCTCGCGCACGCCGCGGGCGCTTTCATGCGAGAGTTTCAGTACACTGGCGCAGGGGGAAGGGGAGGGGGAGGGGGAGGCGGAGGGGAAGCGGAAGGAGGGAGATTTCGAGAGGCAGCGAACGATTATTACGGTGAAGGCGGAGGTTCCAGGAGAATGGGCGCAGGGCGGGTCTTTTTGGATGATGCGGGAGGGAGGTTGGGAAATCTTGGCCCTCCATCTACTGGAGATGGTTTGGGGTTCAAAATCGGACGGTCGTTAGAGCAGGGCCTGTCTGGGCGGCAGATCATTGAAGAGCTGGATTATCTATCGGATGGTGGAGGTTTGGGAAGCGGCAACGGAGGCTCGGCAGGCTGCCGAACCTCTGGTGCAGGCCGGGATGAGACGGTCCGAGGCATGGCTGGGCAGAGGAGCGTTGGGTCAAGAAGTGGTGGGCGAGGGGCAATGGGGATGACAGCAACAGCAGCAGTGACTGCTGTAGACTACGGAACATCATCCATTGCGGGTGCTGGTGGTGGTGGTGGTGGTGCGAGGAGGTGGAGTGCAGCTGCTGAGCTTGAGCAAGCCTTACAGACAGATAGGGGTTGTGGTGTGGGGGGGACTATGGATGATGACATGAGGTCAACACGCAGTGGCGGCAGCACAAGGAGGGCTTATGGCGGAGGGATGGGAGGAGCAGGAGGAGGAGGTGGAGGAGGAGGGACAGGAGGAATAGGAGGAGTAGGAGGAGGGGGGTATGGTGGTGGTGGTGCGGGGGCAGGTTTGCAGCCGAGGACCCCAAGAGAGAGTGCAAGGGCTGGCGTGTTTTCAGACGCATATGCTGCTCCTCGTTCAGGTATGCCTTCTTCTATTCTTCCCCCCTACATCCCGCTGTCACTGTCATTTGCGCTTCGCTTCTCAATTTCCCCCCTCATTACCACCTGTTTTTTCACTAATCAGCCTCACTTCCTGTCCCCGCTTATTAGCCTCTATTCATCATTAATATCCTGTCCCTCCCTTCCCCTTCCCCTCTTTCCCCTCGTCCACCTTGCCCTGGTCTTATTCCTCCCCAGCATCTAGAGGCAGGGGCGGTCTGCGTGGTTCCCTGGATGAAGATGATGGTGCCGATGCTGTGTCAATCGCCACTTCGATCCGTCGGGAGAGAGAACGGGAGCGAGAGCGGGACCGAGACCGCAGCACCGAGTATCTGCAGCAGTGCGATCGTGAGCGTCGATTCCGGGATGAGAGGGAGGATGATGACAGGATCTCCGCTCACGCTCTGGAGAAGTATGCGCCGAACCTGGCTCGTAGTTTGAATGTCGGCATTGCATCTTCGGGAGCAGCAGGAGGTGGTGGGAGTAGGCGTGGGGTTGATGATGATGAAGATGCCAGGAGTGTTAGCAGTCGTAAGTCGTGTCTCTCAGGCGCTTCAAGAGGAAGTAGGTATTCCACCACTTCGTCTGGTGCTGCTGCCACAGCGGCAAGAGGAAGGACTTCAATGGGTGGCGCGACAAGCTTCGTGTCTCCGAGGGACCATTCAACACTTTACTAGTGGAGAGACTTGTGCTCTCCAAGTCAATATGTAGGTGTTGTGCGGATGACGCTAGTATGTTTGCCTGCATCCTATTTTGTATTTTCTGGATTAGGAACACTTGAGAACCATGCTTAGATGTATGTATTTTTGTTATGCACATGTAATGGGTCTAACGTTGTAATATTATATGCCACTTTACAACCCATTGTATGTTTATGGGGCGGCTCCGGCGCGTATAATTTGGCCATTCAAATTGAGACTTCAAGGTCACGCAGCCCTCGCCTTGCCACATCTCTAATCGGCTCGGCGACTCCGAGCCTCCCGTTCAAATTTCGAGACACGCGACTCGTTTTCCCGCCACGCATGGGCCTGCTTTCTCTAACAGCCACCATGCCGAACTGGCCGTCGAGCCTCGTGGCCGTGATTTGACCCTTGCCTCAGAGTGCGGTACGGTTCCATCCCTTGGTGTTCTCTCAACAATCTTTCCAAGCCCTGGCTCTCAGAAGCATGCCCTTGGGATTTGCTTGTGAACAAAGTTTCCAGGTTCCACGGTTTTACCATCTCCCTCAACACTGAGCAGCTTTCCAGGAAAAGGCAGAGTCTAATGTGAAATAAGCGTCTCTATATTGGGCTGTGGTAGACGAATTAGCATTTTTATAGAAAAACATATGCTACTTCTCTTGCGCCCTCATTCGTAGCCCTGCAGCTTAGTACAGGAAACAGAAAAAGTATGGCGGGCGATTCAAGCGAGGACGAGGTAAGTCACAGTGCGGATAGCTCACTAGTTTTTTCTTTCTTTGTTAGTCATCTTGACCAACTGTACGATTACTGAACATGCCTTCGTTGTTTCGCCCGGTCGCAGTATATTCCCGAGGAGGCGACACCAAAAACCGCAAAGAAGCGTAAGGCCCCGAGCAGCACTCCACGGACCACTAAAAAAGCACCTCGCACCACCGCCGCTTCGCCAGCAACCCCCTTACCCTCCGCTGACAGAACCCCATTAGTAGAAACCCCCAACGACGTCGGTCCAGATGGAAAGACGATCGAGGAGACTTATCAGCGCAAGACGCCGCTAGAGCACGTGCTCCTCCGCCCGGACACGTACATAGGCTCGGTGCAGACGCACGTGGGTCCGCAGTGGGTTTGGGAGCAGGGTCGGATGGTACACCGCGAGGTTCGGATGGTTCCGGGGCTGTATAAGATATTTGACGAGATTCTGGTGAATGCGGCAGATAACAAGCAGCGCGACCCGAGCATGGACGCTATTAAAGTGACCATCGATACCGCCAAGAATAAGATTCAGATGAGCGACTCGTAGTTGTGCTGTTTAGTCCGTGACGATGAGGGGCCGTTGCTACTGATGAGCGATGTGTATGAGACCGCTAGTTAGTGGACCTATATCTTTATGCTTGTCTGAGCACACTTTGCGCATACCGCGAGTTAGTATATAGCCTCATTTGTACTGTATATTTGTGGGTATGCGTATGTGGACTATCTCCGGCTGCAATTTCTCCGGAGGTTCTTATCGTCGCGCAAGTGTGTCAAGCAACGGGAGAGGAATTTCCTCGAAGGTCCCCGCGAGGGAGGAATGTTTCGTTCTGGGAAGGCACCTGGATTTACATACGCCACGCGTCCCGAATTTACCCGTCCCTGGTTCTCCCCGCAGGTGTGGAACAACGGCCGGGGAATTCCCGTGGAGGTGCATGCGAAGGAGGGGTGCTACGTGCCGGAGCTGATCTTTGGACACCTGCTCACAAGCAGCAACTACGACGACTCGGCGCGCAAGACCACGGGCGGGCGCAACGGGTACGGCGCCAAGCTGGCGAACATCTTCAGCACGGAGTTTGTGGTGGAGACGGCAGACGGCAGCCGGCAGAAGAAGTACAAGCAGGTGCGTGGCGCAAGTAGAAGCTGGGGGAGGCCCATTCAGGAAGGAGAGGGTTGGCGGGTTGGAATCTGGCAGAACTTCGAGATGGTGTGGGCGGTGAGGGGTGCTGCGTGCCGGAGCTCAAGTCAGTTTTTTTCGAAGAACATGAGCGTCAAGAAGCCCACAAATCAAGGACCGCAAGCCCACCGACAATCCTACCTGCATTACATTCGAGGTGCTATCGTAAATGCAATCCGCTTTTCTGATTTTATCCCTTCCTCCCTCCCTCCCCTCACCAGGTCTTTTCACAGAACATGAACGTCAAGAAGCCCCCATTGATCAAGGATTGCAAGCCCACCGACAAACATCACCTCCATCACCTTCCACTCAGAATTAGTTCCTTTTTTCATCCCTTTCTCCCCTTCTTCCCCGCCCCTCATTCGACCATCTCCCTTTGCCCCTTCTCCAGGTCTTCTCTAAGAACATGAGCGTAAAAAAGGAACCAGTGATCAAGGACTGCAAGCCCACCGACAACTTCACCTCCATCACCTTCCACCCAGACTTGGCCAAATTCGGGCTCGATTCTCTAGACGCAGACCACGTGGCACTCATGAGCCGACGTGTCGTTGACGTGGCAGGGTGCTTGGGAAAATCCGTGAAGGTCATGCTGAATGGTACGCGCGTTCCTGTGAAATCGTTTGCGGATTACGCGGGGTTGTACCTTGCGCCTCCCCCGCCGCCCACCCCGCAACCCCCTGCCACTCCGCCGTCGTCAGGGGAAGGGGGGAGTGGCGGGGGGGAGGGGGCAGGGGCGGAAGGAGGCGTGTCTGCAGCAGAAGCGGCAGCAGCAGCGGCAGCAGCAACTTCTCATCCTTCAACTCATGAGAAGCTCCCAAGGTATGTGTTTCTATTCTTTAACTCACTAGAAAATATTTGATGGGATGATTCTTTAGTCGACCCCAAGAACCACCTGTGAAACCCCCAAGAGTCTGCGCTCCATGATTTTCTGGGCTGAACTATCTGATGGGGTTGAACTATCTGATGGGGTTGAACTATCTGATGGGGCGAACTATCTGATGGGGCGAACTATCTGATGGGGCGAACTATCTGATGGGGTTGAACTATCTGATGGGGTTGAACTATCTGATGGGGTTGAACTATCTGATGGGGCGAACTATCTGATGGGGTTGAACTATCTGATGGGGTTGAACTATCTGATGGGGTTGAACTATCTGATGGGGTTGAACTATCTGATGGGGCTGAACTATCTGATGGGGTTGAACTGCCTAAGCTTTCTTGCAATACACATAGCCTCTAGGGGTCGGTCTGTAATGGAATTTGAAACCCACCATTCCGTCTGTGATTCGCAACTAATGACCGCTGTTTGATTCTGCAGGATCCACGAGAGGGTGAATGACTGTTGGGAGGTGTGCGTGTCCACCAGCGATGGGCAGTTCCAACAGGTACCATCAGCAGGGTTGGGAAAAGAGCGGGGCAGGGAAGTGGTTTAGCGAGGGGAGGGGCTGAGTTGTCTCTGTCTAGAGGGTGAACGACTGTTGGGAGGTGTGTGTGTCCAGGAGCGATGGGCAGTTCCAACAGGTAATGTTGATAGGGATGGGAAAAGAGCGGGGCAGGAAGTGGTTCAGTGAAGGGAGGGGCCGAGTTGTCTGTCTAGAGGGTGAACGACTGTTGGGAGGTGTGTGTGTCCAGGAGCGATGGGCAGTTCCAACAGGTAATGTTGACGGGGAAGGGGATGACGTCCGTATGTTGGGATGTGTGTGTGTGCGCGCGCGCGCGCCTGCTTCCCTGTCCGGGATAACCCGTTTCAAGCCTGAGCCCATGCTTTATCCCATGTCTGCAGGTCAGCTTCGTGAACGCCATCGCGACCACGCGAGGAGGGACGCACGTGAACATGGTATCAGAGCAGATCGTGAGGTACCTGCTGGACAAGGCGCAGAAGAAGGCTGCCACTGGCAAGCACGGGTCCGCCAGTGGCGCTGCTGCCATCAAACCGCACCAGGTGAGGCTTTGGGGGGAAAACGGGGGGATTGGGATGGAGTTGAACAGGGAGAGCGAGTGAGAGGGAGCATTGGGAGGGAGGAGTGTCTAGGTGGAAGAGTGAGTGATCGAGAGTGCTAGGCAGAGCATGAGGGGGGCAGAGGGGGAGAAGGCAGATGGTGCGGTACCTGCTGGACAAGGCGCAGAAGAAGGCCAGCACTGGCAAGAACGGGTCTGCCAGTGGCGCTGCTGCCATCAAGCCTCACCAGGTGAGAATGGGGAGCTAGTGGTAGGAAGCACATGAGGTGGGCAGAGGGAAAGGGCAGATCGTGAGGTACCTGCTGGACAAGGCGCAGAAGAAGGCTGCCACTGGCAAGCACGGGTCCGCCAGTGGCGCTGCTGCCATCAAACCTCACCAGGTGAGGATGGAGGGGAGAGAAAGGTGCTGTTGGTTGCTCCCTACTGCCCTCTGGCTGCTGACTGCTGACTGCTTGCCTGGTCGGTGTTCTGAGACGACTTTTGAGTCGACTCAAAAGTCTGCTTGCCTGGTGGGTGTTCTGAGACGTCTAAATGCACTTTCTCGGTTTCAATCCCTTTCTTCTCCTCCTTTCCCCCCTCCTCTTCTCTCCCGCACAGGTGCGCAGTCAGCTGTGGGTGTTTGTGAACTGCCTGGTGGTTAACCCGGCCTTTGACTCGCAGACCAAGGAGACACTCAACACACGCCCCTCTGACTTTGGCTCCAAGTGCCACCTCTTGGAAGACTTTCTCAAGAAAGGTACGCTGATTTTCAAGGCCCCTCAAAAGACTTTCTCAAGAAAGGTGTTCTGATTTGCAAGGGATGAGAATTGTGAGGTGCCTCTAAAGACGCTCAACACACACCCCTCTGACTTCAACTTTGGCTCCAAGTGCCACCTCTCTGAAGACTTTCTCAAGAGAGGTACGAAAACATGCACACTGGATGTTGTGGGATTTGTCAGACCCAATCAGTGGCTGCCAGCGGAGCATGTGCTGTCCTTAGCAGCGCACAAACAGACAATTGCCTCAAGAGCAGCAATGGGAGCACGAGGCATCATCTCATTCACCTTCTGCTCTTTGCAACCCCATCGACTCGCTTTTCTCTTGCCACCGGTGGAGAATCTCCTGTCCGTAGCAGCGCACGAGCACACCCCAAGGACTTTTGAGACGTCTCAAAAGTAATCTCCTGTCCGTAGCAGCGCACGAGCACACCCCAAGGTCCTCAACTCAAGTGCAGCGAGAGGCAGTGAGTTCTCGTTCTCACCTGTTTCCACCACCCTACATGTCTTTCCTTCACCCCTTCCACGCATCAGTTGCTGCCAAGTGCGGAATAGTGGAGCATCTGCTGTCGCTAGCGCAACGACGGCAGCAAGCGATCGTTCTCCCCTCTTCCACCACCCTGCATCTCTCTCGTTCCCTCCTCCCACACATCAGTCGCTGCCAAGTGCGGAATAGTGGAGCATCTACTATCCTTAGCGGCGCACAAGCAGACCAAGGATCTCAAGCGCAGCGACGGCAGCAAGAGGCAACGAGTGCTCACTCTCCCCTCTCTCCACCCACCCTACATGTCTCTCTCTCTCCCCTGTATCTCACTCACACCAGTCGCTGCCAAGTGCGGGATAGTGGAGCATCTGCTCTCTTTAGCAGCGCACAAGCAGACCAAGGATCTCAAGCGCAGCGACGGCAGCAAGCGGCAGCGCGTGTCGGGCATAACGAAGCTGGATGATGCCAACGAGGCAGGCGGCAGGAATGCGGAGCACTGCACTCTGATTCTCACTGAAGGGGACTCGGCCAAGACTCTCGCGGTGAGAGAATCGCTCTGGTTTCTTAGAAGGGCAGGATGTGTGGTGAGGGGGGGAAGAGGCAGCGCGTGTCAGGCATAGTGAAGCTGGACGATGCCAACGAGGCAGGCGGCAGGAATGCGGAGCACTGCACTCTGATTCTTACTGAAGGGGATTCTGCTAAGACTCTGGCGGTGAGAGAATAACTCTTTTTTTTGGGGAGGGTAGGAAGGAAACTGGGGGAGGACTCTTGCAAGAAGAAGAAGGATTTGAACCACTGCAAGCCAACCGTGAGTCTCTGTTTCTTAACTGAAAGCAGTCGGCGGGTTGTTTGTATAAAGTAGGGAAAGGGCAAAAACTGGACTGGGGGATTGAAAGGTGAAGAGAAAGAGGCAGCGTGTGCTGGGCATAGTCAAGCTGGATGATGCCACCCAGGATGGTGACAGGAACTTGGTGGAGCATTAAAATGACCACGAACTCATCTTTCTCTCCGTCCCTCCCTGCCTCCCTCCATCCCTCCCGCATTCCGTCCATCCCTGCAGGTGTCAGGGCTGAGTGTGATGGGTCGCGACCGCTATGGCGTGTTCCCCCTGCGGGGCAAGCTGCTGAACGTGAGAGACGCATCCCACCGGCAGATGATGGAGAATACTGAGATAGGGCATTGTTGAAAATTGCTTCGAAACATTCCTGCCCTCCCACCTTCCCACCTTCCCTCCCTCCCTCGCGCCAGGTGTCAGGGCTGAGTGTGGTGGGTCGCGATCGCTACGGCGTGTTCCCCCTGCGAGGCAAGCTGCTGAACGTGAGGGACGCATCACACAGACAGATGATGGAGAACACTGAAATAGGCCACCTGAAGCAGATCCTGGGGCTGCAGCATGGGAAGAGCTATGAGAGCGTGAAGGCCCTGCGATACGGACACTTGATGATCATGACCGACCAGGTGAGACCGTGAGGGGTGTGCGTCCCACCGGCAGATGATGGAGAACACTGAGATCGGCCACCTGAAGCAGATCCTGGGGCTGCAGCACGGGAAGAGCTATGAGAGCGTGAAGGCTTTGAGATACGGGCACCTCATGATCATGACTGACCAGGTGAGGGGAGGGGTGGTGTGGTGTGTGTGGGGGGGGGGGGGAGGGGGGGGGAGGGAGGGGAGGGGGAGGGATGGTGGCAAGGTATGGTTCTTCCGCTCCTTCTGGCTTTCCCTCTTTGCATGGTGTTTCTTCTCCCGTCCTTCCCTTCCTGACCACACCACCAGTCACTCTCAACTTGCCCTTTCACTCTGCCTATTATTATCCTCCCCTCTACGCCCATCCCACCCACCAGGACCACGACGGATCCCACATTAAGGGTCTTCTCATCAACCTGCTGCACTCGTGCTGGCCCTCCCTGCTCAAGCACCCCTCCTTCCTCCTTGTCTCCTCTTCCCTTCCCATCCCCTTATCCCACCCACCAGGACCACGACGGATCCCACATCAAGGGGCTTTTGATCAACCTCCTGCACTCCTGCTGGCCGTCCCTGCTCAAGCACCCCTCCTTCCTCCTTGTCTCTTCCTCTCCCATCCCCCCATCCAATCCACCAGGATCATGACGGGTCCCACATCAAGGGTCTTCTCATCAACCTCCTGCACTCCTGCTGGCCGTCCCTGCTCAAGCACCCCTCCGTCCTCCTTGTCTCCTCTTCCTCTCCCATCCCCCCATCCAATCCACCAGGACCATGATGGGTCCCACATTAAGGGTCTTCTCATCAACCTCCTGCACTCCTGCTGGCCCTCCCTGCTCAAGCACCCCTCCTTCCTCCGCGAATTCATCACGACTCACACCCGTTCCTCTCTCCCACCTTCCCTCCCGCTTATGCCCATCCTCCTATCCAATCCACCAGGACCATGACGGGTCCCACATCAAGGGTCTTCTCATCAACCTGCTGCACTCCTGCTGGCCCTCCCTCCTCAAGCACCCCTCCTTCCTCCGCGAATTCATCACCCCAATCGTCAAAGCCACCGGGCCCAGAGGCCGCACCCTCGCCTTCTACACCATACCTGAGTACGAGGCTTGGAAACGGACCTTAGGCTCGGATGCGAGGCAGTGGAAGGTGAAGTACTACAAGGGTCTGGGCACGAGCACGCCCAAGGAGGCCAAGGAGTATTTCACACAGCTGGACCGGCATCGCAAGGACTTTGAGTGGCGGGGGGAGGGCAACGGGGAGCGGATCGAGATGGCGTTCAGTAAAAAGGCGGTGGATGCCCGGAAGCAGTGGCTGCGCTCCTATGAGGTGAGAGGAGAGGTGGGAAGGGGGGAATGGGAGCGGATCGAAATGCCGTTTAGCAAGAAGGCAGTGGATGCCCGGAAGCAGTGGCTGCGCTCCTATGAGGTGAGCGGAGAGGTGGGAAGGGGGGAATGGGAGCGGATCGAAATGCCGTTTAGGAAGAAGGCAGTGGATGCCCGGAAGCAGTGGCTGCGCTCCTATGAGGTGAGAGGAGAGGTGGGAAGGGGGGAATGGGAGCGGATCGAAATGCCGTTTAGCAAGAAGGCAGTGGATGCCCGGAAGCAGTGGCTGCGCTCCTATGAGGTGAGCGGAGAGGTGGGAAGGGGGGAATGGGAGCGGATCGAAATGCCGTTTAGCAAGAAGGCAGTGGATGCCCGGAAGCAGTGGCTGCGCTCCTATGAGGTGAGAGGAGAGGTGGGAAGGGGGGAATGGGAGCGGATCGAAATGCCGTTTAGCAAGAAGGCAGTGGATGCCCGGAAGCAGTGGCTGCGCTCCTATGAGGTGAGCGGAGAGGTGGGAAGGGGGGAATGTGAGCGGATCGAAATGCCGTTTAGCAAGAAGGCAGTGGATGCCCGGAAGCAGTGGCTGCGCTCCTATGAGGTGAGCGGAGAGGTGGGAAGGGGGGAATGGGAGCGGATCGAAATGCCGTTTAGCAAGAAGGCAGTGGATGCCCGGAAGCAGTGGCTGCGCTCCTATGAGGTGAGAGGAGAGGTGGGAAGGGGGGAATGGGAGCGGATCGAAATGCCGTTTAGCAAGAAGGCAGCGGATGCCCGGAAGCAGTGGCTGCGCTCCTATGAGGTGAGCGGAGAGGTGGGAAGGGGGGAATGGGAGCGGATCGAAATGCCGTTTAGCAAGAAGGCAGTGGATGCCCGGAAGCAGTGGCTGCGCTCCTATGAGGTGAGCGGAGGGGTGCGAAAGGGGATTGTGGAAGTGGGGTGTGAAAGTCAGCTTGTATGAGATGAAGGCAGGGGTAATGTTCGTTTGTTAGAAGTAGCAGTAGCCCGTGTCCGCCGAGTGTCGTGTCTCCAGTCGCCGAGACCCCCTCACCCTCCCCTCCCAACCTCCAAATCCCCTGTTCCCCCGTTTCTCACCTCCCATCGCCCCTCCCTCCCATGTCCCGTGCCACACCCTCAGCCCGGCACGTACCTGGACCAGACGGCGCAGCGCATCAGCTACAGCGACTTTGTGGACAAGGAGCTCATCCTCTACTCGCTCGCTGATAACATGCGCTCCATCCCCTCCGTGGTGGACGGCTTAAAGCCGGGGCAGCGCAAGATCCTGTTTGCCTGCTTCAAGCGCAAACTGCACTCAGATATCAAGGTGGGTGCTGGTGCTGTGGGGCGCTGTGGGGTGCTGTGGGGTGATGTGGCATGACCTGCAGTGCATGCATGCACTGGTGTGCGCTCCATCCCCTCCGTGGTCGATGGGCTCAAGCCATGGTAGAGGAAAAGTTTGTTCTCGTGCTTCAAGCGCAAACTGCACTGCACTCGGATATCAAGGTGGGTAGGGTGCTCTGGGCTGCAGCAGGGCATACCCTGGCCTTTCACCAAGCACACACTTGAGCATCAGGTCACGACTAGATGAGAGAACACACTTGGCGTTATTGTGGGTATGACTGGATGGCCTCGCTGGCCGGCAACATGCGATTTATCCCCTCCATTCCGTGGTCGATGGGCTGAATCCGGGGCAAAGGAAGATCCTCTTCTCGTGCTTCAATCGCAAGCTGCACTCGGATATCAAGGTGGGGGCTGTGGGGTGCTGTGGCACGACCTGCAGTGCATGGATGCACTAGCCGTCCTTTCCCCAAGGACATGCTTGTGCAGCGCCTCATCAGCTGAACACACCTGCTGGGGATGTTTGGATGGCCTCGCCTGGCAGACAACATGCGTTTCAATCCCCTCTGTGCATCTTTTGAGGCGCCTCAAAATCCGCGTGAACTGAGACGACTTTTGAGGCGCCTCAAAAGACTTCACCGTATGGTGGGGATGTTTGGATGGCCTCGCCTGGCAGACGACATGCGTTCAATCCCCTCTGTGCATGCCGCCACGGAGAGCAGAGAGTCCGGTAGTCACTGCTAGCCCAAGGCCCCCTTCTTCCTCCTTCACCCTCCTCCCTGTGAGCAGCTGGCGCAGCTAGCAGGGTATGTGTCGGAGCATGCAGCGTACCACCACGGCGAGCAGAGTCTGATGAGCACAATTGTGAACCCCATCCAACCCACCCTCTGTCTGCACCCCTTCCCCCGTCGTGTCCTCGTTTGCGCTTTTTCTGCAGGTGGCACAACTGGCAGGGTACGTGTCAGAGCACGCGGCATACCACCACGGCGAGCAGAGCCTGATGAGCACCATTGTGAACCTCAACCTCCTCTCCTCCCCCTGTTCTCCCCATCCTTCGTGAGCAGGTGGCGCAGCTAGCAGGGTATGTGTCAGAGCACGCGGCATACCACCACGGCGAGCAGAGTCTGATGAGCACCATAGTGAACCTCGCCCAGGAATTTGTGGGCAGCAACAACGTCCACTTGCTCGTGCCCTCAGGGCAGTTCGGTACTCGCCTGCAGGTGAGATGAGAGGGTTGAAGGCAGAGAGTAGGATGCGCACCGTAGTGAACGTGCCAGGACATGGAGGGACTTTGTGGGCAGCAACAACGTCCACCTGCTCGTGCCCTCGGGGCAGTTCGGTACTCGCCTGCAGGTGAGATGGGGAGGGCGGAGAGCGGAGGGCGGAGGGCATGGGGCAGGGAGCAGAGGGTGGGGGGCAGAGGGCGGAGGGTAGATTGCGGAGGGTAGATGGCGGAGGGTAGAGAGCAGAGGGCAGAGGGCGGAGGGCAGAGAGCGGGTAGAGGGTGGACAGCAGGGGACCGAAGGCAGAGAGCCCTGGTTTCTTGAGTAACGCATTCCTCGCTTCCATCTCTCTGTCCTGTCCGCCCTTGGTCTCCCTCCTGTGGGTACCTCAGGGTGGAAGGGACGCAGTGAGTACATAGCTTCAACTACAAGCGCTGGCAGCAGCTGATGTATTTGTGCCCTCTTTCATCTCTCCGCCCTATCACCCCATTTTACTCCCGCCCCTCCCTCTCCCTCGTCTCCCTCCTCTTCCACCTCTCCCTCCTCTCCCTACTATCCCTCGTCTCCCTCCTCTCCCTCCTCTCACTCCTCTCCAGCCTCTTCTTCCTCTCCTTCCTCTCCCTCCTCTACCTCCTCTCCCTCCTCTCCCACCTCTCCCTCCTCTTCCTCCTCTCCCTCCTCTTCCTCCTCTTCCTCCTCTTCCTCCTCTCCCTCCTCTCCATCCTCTCTCCTCTCCCTCCTCTCCCTCCTCTCCCTCCTCTCCCTCCTATTCCTCCTATCCCTCCTCTCCCTCCTCTCCCTCCTCTCCCCCCTCTTCCTCCTCTCCCTCCTCTCCCTCCTCTCCCTCCCCTCCCCCCTCTCCCTCCTCTCCCTCCTATTCCTCCTCTCTTCTCTCTCCCTTATCTCCCTCCTCTCCCGCCTCTCCCCCCTCTCCCTCCACTCTCTCCTTTCCCGCCTCTCGCTCCTATCCCTCCTCTCCCTTCTCTCCATCCCCTCCCTTCCCTCCATCCTCTCCCCCCTCGCCCTCGTCGCCCTCCTCGCCCTCCTCTCCACTCCCTCCCTCCTCTCCCTCCTCTCCCTCCCGTCTCTCCTCTCTCCCCTCTCTCTCCTCTCTTCCTCCTCCCTGCCCCTCCTGTGTGTCTGTCTGTCCCCAGGGCGGCAAGGACGCGGCAAGCCCCAGGTACATCTACACGCGCCTGCACAGGCTGACACGTGTCATCTTCCCAGTGGCTGACGACGCACTGCTGGATTACCTGGATGACGACGGGCAGAGGATCGAACCCAAGTGGTGAGCTGCTGATAGGATGAGGGGGGAAGAAGGAAGGATGTGGGGGGGGTGAGGGGTAGGGGGGATGTGTTGTGAAGCCCCAATAGCAGATGGGGGCTGTTGTGGTGGTGTGTGGCGCATGGGCCCTGCTGGAGTATCTGGAACATGACAGGCAGAGGATCGAACCCAAGTGGTGAGCTCTTGGGGGAATTCCTTGCTTGCGTCAAAACCGATAGGGGCCAGTGTTGATGCTGATGCGAGTTGAGTTGACAATTTGATGGTGTCAATCAATAACAGTGAGGGCATCGAGTTTGTACGTGCCAACACTCACGCTGCTTTCTGCCCTCCTTTCCTCCCTCTATCTTTCCCCTCCCCACCCACCCCCCAACCATCGTCCCCTTCCCAGATATGTCCCTATTCTGCCCACAGTGTGCTCATCAACGGCTGTGAGAGCATCGGCACAGGATGGAGCTCGTGCCGTACCCATTGTGCCCCTTTCCTTCTCTCTATCCTTGCCCTTCCCCACCCATCCCCCTTGCTCCCCTCTCCTCAGATACATGACCATCCGGCCCATAGTGCTGATCAACGGCAGTGAGGACATCGGCACGGGGAGAAGCTCGTACGTGCCCCATGTGCCCCTCTCTGCTCGCTTACTGCCCTCCTTCTCTCTATCCTCTCCCTCCCATCCCAAACCCCAGGTACGTGCCCATCCTGCCCATGGTGCTCATCAACGGGAGTGAGGGCATCGGCACGGGGTGGAGCTCGTACGTGCCAACGTTCAACCCTTTGTCTTGCCCTCCCAACCCTCCCCCTCCCCTTACTTACCTCTTCCCAGGTACGTGCCCATCCTGCCCCTGGTGCTGATAAATGGCAGTGAGGGCATCGGCACGGGGTGGAGCTCGTACGTGCCGACGTTCAACCCGCGGGACGTGGTGGCAAACCTCAAGAGGCGCATGCGGGGCGAACCCATGCTGCCCATGCACCCCTGGTTCCGCGGCTTCAAGGTGTGCAAGAGAGGGGGAGGACGAGGGGGGGGAGAAAAGGGGCCGTATGCTGGGGGGAAGCGGGAGTGAAGGGGAGGGAAGAGGGTGGCCGGGCTTGTCGTGTAGTGGGGTGGAAGGGGCATTGGCACGGGGTGGAGCTCGTACGTGCCAACGTTCAACCCGCGGGAAGTGGTGGCGAACCTCAAGAGGCGCATGCGAGGCGAACCCATGCTGCCCATGCACCCCTGGTTCCGTGGCTTCAAGGTCCGTAAGGGAGGGGGGAGGGTATGGGGAGGTGGGGGGGGGGAGGGTATGGGGAGGTGAGGAGGGGAGAGAAAAGCAGGTGGCAGGGATGCGATGAGAATATGCTGCTTCTTCCTCCACTTGTCGCATCAATGTGTCCCATCCAGCTGTGTTCACCCATTCTTTCGCTGTTCCACTACCCTACCTCCCTCTAACCATCCAGGGTTCCATCCAGCTGACGTCAGCACGGCAGGGAGGAGGCAACTCGTACACCGTGATAGGTGTCGCGACGCGATTGGCCAGCAGCAGCGGCGGGCGCAAGGGCGAGAAGCAGCCGCAGCAGCAGGGGGTGACAGGTGTCTCGATCACAGAGCTCCCGATCCGAACCTGGACCCAGAACTACAAGGAGTTTCTAGAAGGGATGATGGGGGGAGGAGGGGGCGGGCATGGTGGTGGGGAGGGAGGGGGGAAGGTGGCCCTGGTCAAGGATATGAGGGAGTATCATACTGACACTTCGGTTCATTTTGAGGTTGAGTTTACTGCTGAAGGAGCGGCGTATTTCATGGGAGAGGGAGGGATGGTGGGAGCGAGGAGAGGAAGTGCCGCAGCGGCTGCTGCTGCCTCTGCTGCTGCTGCTGCTGCGGCGGCGGCGGCGGCGGCGGCGGCGGGGGCAGGTGCTGCAACTGCTGCTGGTACTGCCACTGGTGCTGCTGCAACGGCAGCAGCAGCTGGTGGTGCTGCTGATGGGGTGGGTTTTCCTGAGGGTGAAGATCCGGAAGCGGGTGCAAGGTCGCCTGGGAGTGGAGACATAGGGGGGGAGGGGATGGGCGGAGGAGGAGCGGGAGGTGAGGGGGAGAGAGCAGAGGGGCAAGAGGAGGAGGAGGGGGAGGAGGCGAGGAGGGAGAGGGAGGAGAGGAGGGCGCGGGCGCAGTGGGCGGTGATGGAGAAGAGGCTGAAGCTGACGACGACGATGAACACGGGCAACATGCACCTGTTTGATGCAGAGGGGCGCATGAAGAAATACGACAGCCCGGAAGAGAGTGAGTCAAGCACCCACGGTTGTTGTCACGCACCCAGCCCCACAACCCCAACCCGGGCAACATGCACCTGTTTGATGCTGAGGGGCGCATGAAGAAATACGACAGCCCGGAAGAGAGTGAGTGACGGGAGTGTGTGGGTTGGGTTCAAGAGAGGGAGTGAAGGGAGTGAGTGCGCAGGGTTTGTGGGTGGGCAGGGTGGGGGTGGGCGAAGAGGCTGAAGCTGGCGACGACGATGAACACGGGCAACATGCACCTGTTTGATGCAGAGGGGCGCATGAAGAAATACGACAGCCCGGAAGAAAGTGAGTCAAGGGACTGGGTGTATGGGTGGAGAGAGCAGGTATGAAAAGAGGTTGTGTGCGGTGCGGGGAGGAGCACGGGCAATGTGCATCTGTTTGATGCTGAGGTTCGCATGATGAAATACGACAGCCCAGAAGAGAGTGAGTCACGGGGTGACAGGATTCGGGGTTGGGTTCGAGAGAGGCAGTGAAGGGAGTGAGTGAAAAAGGTTTGCGTGTGGGTGGGCGCAGTGGGTGTGATGGAGAAACGGCTGAAGCTGACTACGACAATGAACACAGGCAACATGCATTTGTTTGATGCAGATGGGCGCATGAAGAAATACGACAGCCCGGAAGAGAGTGAGTCAAGGGATGGTGGGTGTTCCTCCCACCTCCTTTTCTCCACTACCTTCGCGCCCTTTCTCCACTACCTTCGCGCCCTTTCTCCACTACCTTCGCGCCCTTTCTCCACTACCTTCGCGCCCTTTCTCCACTACCTTCGCGCCCTTTCTCCACTACCTTCGCGCCCTTTCTCCACTACCTTCGCGCCCTTTCTCCACTACCTTCGCGCCCTTTCTCCACTACCTTCGCGCCCTTTCTCCACTACCTTCGCGCCCTTTCTCCACTGCCTTCGCGCCCTTTCTCCACTCCTTGCTGTCAGCAGTAATCGTCGAGGACTTCCTATGGTATCCTCCTGGGGTGCTACAAGCAGCGAGCACCAGCTGGCTCAGTTAGTTGCACCACTAGCTGTCCTTCCCTTAAACCCTTCCCCTTACGTCCTTCCCCTTACGTCCTTCCCTTTACCGCTGATTACCAACCAGTAATCGAGGACTTGTACAGCATTCGCCTGGGGTACTACGAGCAGCGCAACCAGGATCAGCTGGCTCAGTTATTTGCACCACAAGGCAGCTGACTCAGCTGAGACACGATCTGCCCTCAGCAGAGGAAGGAGCATCAACTGGCGCAGCTGTGACACGAGCTGACTTCCTCTTCTTGCCTTCCTGTCCTTCTTTCTCTGTTTCTCTCACCCTTCCTCAATAGTAATTGAGGACTTTGACGGCATTCGCCAGGGGTACTACGAGCAGAGGAAGGCGCATCAACTCGCACAGCTGAGGCACGAGCTGACTTCTCCGTACCGCCTTCCTGCCCCTGTCCCTCCCTGTTTCTCGTTGTCAACAGTTATCGAGGACTTTTACGGCATCCGTCTGGGGTATTACGAGCAGAGGAAGGAGCACCAGCTGACGCAGCTGAGGCACGAGCTGCTGCGGCTGGACAACCGCGCTCGCTTCGTGCGGGCGGTGATTCAGGGCGACGTGGTGATCACCAACAGGAAGCAGGCGGACATTGTGGCTCAGCTCAAGGTGATTGTGGTGATAGTGAGCGGACCGTAGATGCCTACAGCAGGGCTCGCTTCGTGCGGGCGGTGATTCAGGGCGACGTGGTGATCACCAACAGGAAGCAGGCGGACATTGTGGCACAGCTCAAGGTGAGGGCTGGGGTTGTGGGCCAACGCTTGTGTGATCCGACGGTGTGCCACGAGCTGCTGCGGCTGGGGAACTGAGCTCGCTTCGTGCGGGCGGTGTTCAAGGCGACGTGGTGATCACCAAAAGGAAGCAGGCGGACATTGTGGCACAGCTCAAGGTGAGGGTTGGGGTTGTGGGGCTGGGTGCGTGACAACAACCGTGCGTGCTTTGTGGGGCAGTGAATCAAGGGGACGTGGTGATCACCAAAAGGAAACAAGCGGACATTGTGGCACAGCTCAAGGTGATTGTGGTGATAGTGATTAACTTGAGGTATCCTAGATGTAAATGCATGCAGCAGCGCTCGCTTTGTGCGGGAGGTGATTCAGGGCGACACTGTGGTCACCAACAGGAAAAAGGCTGATATTGTGCTCAGCTCAAGGTGAGGGTTAGGGGTTGTGGGCCTGCTACACATGTGCGGCTCAAAGGTGACAGCTGAGGCATGAGCTGCTGAGGCTGCAGACAATAGAGCTCGCTTTGTGCGGGAGGTGATTCAGGGCGACATTGTGATCACCAACAGGAAACAGGCCGATATACAAGTTGAGTTTTGAAACGTCTCAAAACTCAACTTTTATCACGTGATGATTCAGGGCGACGTGGTGATCACCAACAGGAAGCAGGCGGATATTGTGGCACAGCTCAAGGTGAAAGAGTCTCAGACGTCTGGCCCGGGCATGTGAAACAGTCGCGGATTGTTCTTGCTGTGGGTTGAGGTGCTGTGCTTGTGCTCCCTTACTCTTTCATCTCCCTTACTCTTACACCCTCCCAGGCCCGTGGTCTCTCACCCTCCTCGAAAGGAGTGCCCCTTTCTCCTCCCCCCACCGCCACTCCTCTATCTCATCTCATTTCCATCACCATCTCCCCCCCCTTCCTCCCTTAGTTTCTCCCCCCCCTCATCTTGACCTTCCCCAGGCACGTGGTTTCACCCCTCCCATCAAATATGCCACTATTGTTTCCCATCTATCTCATCCTTCTCTTCCCCCCTCCTTCTCCTATTGTTTCCCTTTCCCCACTGCCTCCTTTCCTCTTGACCTTCCCCAGGCGCGTGGTTTCACCCCTCTCCCCAAGGGCCATGCAGCCGCCCCTGTGGTGGTTGCTGACGTGGACCCGGGCAGCACTGACGTCAGCGCGGATGGGGATGACGTGGAGATGGACGACGTGGAAACACCAGCAGGAAAAAAGACAGGGAGAGGAAAAAACACCCCAGCAGCAGGAAAAGCAGGAGCCGCAGGAAAAGCAGCAGCAGCAGGAGCAGTACCATCAGCAGGAGCAGTGGGAGCAGCGTATGAGTATCTGCTAGGGATGCCTCTGTGGAGCCTCACGTGGGAGCGCGTGGAGCAGTTGGAGAGGGAGAGGCGGGGCAAGGAGGAGGAGGTGGTGGTGCTGCAGGCCACGTCGCCCCTGCAGCTGTGGGAGAGGGACCTGGACCTGTTTCTGGAGACTCTCGAGGTGAGAGGGAGTACGGTGCCTGTGTGGCGCTGTGTGGTGCTGTGTGGTGCTGTGTGGTACTGTGTGGTGCTGTGTGGTGCTGTGTGGTGCTGTGTGTATCATCTGTGCATAGGAGGAGGTGGTGCTGCTGCAGGCCACGTCGCCCCTGCAGCTGTGGGAGAGAGACCTGGACCAGTTTCTGGAGACCCTCAAGGTGAGGGATGGGGAATCATTGTGCGTGTGTTTATGATTGCATATCATCGTCTGTGTGTGTGGTGAGTGGGGTGGTGCTGCTGCAGGCTACCTCGCCCCTGCAGCTGTGGGAGAGAGACCTGGACCTGTTTCTGGAGACTCTCGAGGGGAGGGAAGGAGAGAGGATGGTGCGTGTTTGTATGCATCATCGTCTGTCTGTGTGGTGAGTGGGGTGGTGCTTCTGCAGGCTACCTCGCCCCTGCAGCTGTGGGAGAGAGACCTGGACCTGTTTCTGGAGACTCTCGAGGTGAGGGAAGGAGAGAGGATGGTGCGTGTTTGTATGCATCATCGTCTGTGTGTGTGGTAAGTGGGGTAGCGCTGCTGCAGGCTACCTCGCCCCTGCAGCTGTGGGAGAGAGACCTTGACCTGTTTCTGGAGACCCTCGAGGTGAGGGATGGAGAGAGGAGGCGATGTGCATGCGTGTGTAATCACAGTCGTGTGTGTTGTTGAGTGGGGTGGTGCTGCTGCAGGCCACGTCGCCCCTGCAGCTGTGGGGGGGGGGAGAGATTTAAATTGGAGGCCCTTGAGGTGAGGGAGAGTCAAGTATTGCTCTTAGTGGATTCATCATGACCCTCCCTCACCTCAAGGGTTGCTGAACAAATTGTTGAGGCATCTTTTGAGTCGACTCAAAAGTCACCTCACCTCAAGGGTTTTGAGGCATGGCTGATTTTTTAGAATTCTCAAAAACCAGCGAGAATTCCAAAAAAAACAGATCAAGGGTTGATGAACATATGGTTGAGGCATAGAGGTGACTTTTGACGCAACAGCACGAGTAGAACGGTTGAGTTCACCCTCCCTCACAGCTCAAGGGTTGTTGAACATATGGTTGAGGCATAGCTTAGCCATGTTTCGACAACCTGCTCTATTGAAATCACTTTTGAGAATTCTCTGAAGGGTTGTTGAACATATGTTGAGGCTTAGATGGTTTTCTCAAAAACCAGGGAGAATTCTCAAAAACCAGCTCAAGGGTTGTTGAACATATGGTTGAGGCTTAGAGGTGACTTTTGAGTCGACTCAAAATTCACCCTCTCTCAGCTCAAGGGTTGTTGAACATATTGTTGAGGCATAGCTTAGCCATGGTTCGACAACCTGCTCTCCCATTTCCGTGTTCCATTTCGTTGCACTGACCCTGGGCCTGGGCTCAGGGCTTAGTAAACTGCCCTGCATCCTTGTGAATGGACAGACGCCCCTTGAGACGTCTCAAGAGTGAGCCATCCGTTGCACTGACTGAGGACCCAGGAGGGAGATATGATGCAGCGTATGTTTTTTTAGAATTCTAAAAAAACATTCGCTGCATCATATCTCCCTCCCACGGTTTTGAGAATTCTCAAAAAACATACGCTGCACTGACCGAGGACCCAGTTCTGACTCAACTGCAACTTGTGCGTGTGGGTGTGTGTGTTTCTGTGTGTGTATGTGGTGTGTGTGTTCTGTGTGTGCGGCGTATGCGCATATGTGTGTGTGTGAGTGAGTGCCTACACGATCGGGCCAACAGGAGGTGGAGGCCGAGGCGGCTGAGGATGAGAGGGAGAGGGAGCGAGCGGCCAATCAGCACAAGGCACGTGGCAGGAACGCAGCAGGGAGGAAGGGCGGCAAGCAGCAGGCAGGGGGGGCAAGCAGGGGGAAGAAGGCGGGGGTAACCGGGGGAGGGGGTACAGGGGGAGGGGGAGGAGGAGGGGGCAGGGGGAAGGCAAAGGGGGCAGTTGGAGAAACAGGGATTGGAGTTGGGGGGAGGCAGGGAGGGGACAGTGCTCAGGGGGGTGTAGGGTTTGGGGAGGAGGAGAAGCAGGGGAAGCAGAAGGGGAAGCAGCAGACACTGTTGGGGACCATGTGGGGCAAGGGGAAGGGGAAGGGGCTGGGAACTGCTTTAAATGCTGCTGCTGCTGGTGCTGCTGCTGATGGTACTGGTGCTGCTGGTGATACTGGTGGTGATGGTATTGGTGCTGGCGGTGATACAGAAGGAGTTGCTGCTGCCACTGCTGCTACTGCTGGGCTTGATGAGGATAGGGGAGATGGGTCGCCGGTGGAAGGGAGTGGTGTCAGAGCAGCAAGTGATGGGAGCAGTGAGGAGAAGGAAGAGACGAGGGAGGAGGGTGGTACGGATGGTAGCGAGGAAATGGATGAGGACGGGGAGGGAGAGGAGGGGAGTGATAGTGAGGGGGAAGACGATGAGGAGGGGGAGGAAGAGGAGAGTGAAGATGATAGCGACTTCGAACCAACAACGACAAAGAGTGAGTGCTCCTGAGCAGTTGGACATGGCACAGGGAAGCAGAAAGCCTGTGTTAATAGTCCGTTTCTGCCTATCCCCTTGATTACATTACAGGTTTCTTGACTCGTTCCCCTCCCTTATGATGTCTCTATGGGTGTGCAGCTAAGGGCAGGGGTGCAGCGCCAATCGAGATGCCAACGCCAAGGCAATCCACTCCCCGCCACCCCTCCCGCCTTACCCGCACCCAAGCAGCATCAGCAGCATCACCAGCAGTACCAGCAGCAGCAGCAGCAGCTCCTGCCCCCTCTGATGCTGCCTCTCCCCAGCAGTCGACAGACCAAGCAGACACAGACGCACAGCGGCGAGCGAACGCACAGGCAGAGGACGATATAGACATGTCAGGAGGAGGGCAGGGAGGAGGAGGAGGAGGAGGAGGAGGAGGGGAAGAGGATGTGGATGTGGATCCGTCACCGCCCTTCCCACCGCCGTCGCCAGCAGCAGCAGGAGGCATGAGGGAATCGCCTCCTGTGATTGAAATGACATCGTCCGAGGAAGAGGGTGGGGCGTTTGGCTTGCAGGCGGGTGGGGGGCTGCGGTTGGGTGATTCGGTCTCAGATGCAGGCGACACGAGCAATGGTGACACAAGTAACGGCAACGCTAGCAATGGCTCCAACAGCCCAAGTAAGCTCGCCTCAATTGCATCCTCCCACTCATTCTGGTCCCTTCCGTCAATTTTAATTATCTCGCATGATTGTTGCCGTTTTTTCGTCATCTGTATCTTTTCCGAGCTTTGATTTTCTTGCTTCTTTCCAACTTTATGGCATGTCTCATTTCGTTCAAAATTGTGCTTCACTCACACGGCGGTCTTCCTTTCCACCTGGGCTGCACTCACCAACAGGTGCTGCCTCTGACCCGTACTCTCTCCATGCATCTCCCTCCGCATCCCCACCGCTCTCCACTCCTCTCCGCACCTCTTCCACCCCCAACCCCCCCGCAAGCACAGCCACACCTGTCCCAGCCACGCCGCTCCCATCCCGCCGTTCTACTCGTGCTGTTGCGTCTGCAACGCCTTCTAGTGCAGCTGCTGCAACACCATCAGTACCAGCAACACCAGCAGCGCCATCAGTACCAGCAGTCTCACAAGCACCGGGTGCGCCTGCACTAGCACCCTCAGCACCAACTGCACCCCTGGTTCCTGCTGCAGGAGCCCCAGCAGCTGCTGCTGCACTCTCTGTGCCTGCAGAAACCCCGGTACCAGCCAGCGCAGCTGCAGCCACCGCAAGTGTACAGGTCCCCCTTATGGACGTGCTTAGAGAGGGGGGTAGGGCGCAGTCACTGGCAGGTAAAGGCCGAGGGGGAGGGAGAGGGAGAGGGGCAGGGGGGAGAGGGCGAGGAGGAGCGAGTGGGAGAGGGAGAGGGGGGAGGGGAGGAAGAGGAAGAGGAGGAGCAGCAGCAGCTAGTGGTAGTGGTAGTGGTAGTGGTGGTGGAGGAGGTAGAGGGCATGTAGAGGTGGTTGATTTGGATGATTAACAGCATCATCTTTAAAAGCGATGCAGCTACTGGCAGTGGTGTGGGTAGTAGAGGAGGTAGAGGGCCAGTTGAGGTGGTTGATTTGGATGATTAGCATCGTGCTGCTAAGCGTAAGTTGGGGTTACCCGTATGCGAAAAAAGTAGCAGAGGTGTGGAGTGGAGTGGAGTGGACTCCGCTGCTAATATGTTTTCTGTTGTAAGTCTTGGATAGAGCGGGACTCTTCTGTGCATCAGCCAGCGGCACACGTAGCAGTGGTATGATACTGGGAACTGTTCTACGTCTTGTCTGTCAAGGCATGAAATTTTATGTGTGTGGAACAGTCAGAAGGACGAGAGGGTTTGTTCATGCATTCAGTTTGTACTCACACATTATACGAAGGAAAACTTGCTTACTGTAGTAATAGTTTGCTTACTTTGTGGTGCACTTTTTAGATGGGGAAGAGCTGGTCCAATTCGGTTCAGTGCGGTGGGTCACAAAGATGAGGTCATCATACACTAGTTTGGCGATAAGTTCGGTTGATGATTGTTATGAGTTGTACTAAACAGAGTGCGGAAGACTTCTATAAAGAGACTGTGATTACAGCATGACGAAACAATGAAAGAAACGAGCAAATATAGGGCGAAACTAGCTAGGCGAGAACCTCTAGATGTGCGTGGCTCGGAAATGTCGCGATTGGTGCGGGGCGACTCGAAATTGGTTCGGTGCGAAAGTGTAGGCCGAACCATCCTGACGCGAAGTGCTCGGGCTGTCCTCGCTAGGAGCAGCCTCTACAGTAATGAATTGCATATTCATTACACTCTCCCACCTTCTAGATAAGGCCCCCTTATCTGTAGTCGAGTCTTGCAGTAGCATGAAAACTGCAGATCTCGGTTGAAAACGGATCTGACGGTGCAGAACGCGTTGACCCTTGAGTTGACGCGAGGCTGACTAGTTGACCAGGCGAAATTGAATAGAGTTGGAATGTCAGCCGTCGAATTTCCCAGATGTCGATCTGACGATCGCGATTGAAGTGCCGAACTGAATACGCGATTAAATGATAGTCGTTGATGTAGCGGTTTCGAATCGGACGGTAAAGATGAGCGCGATGCTGGGCGGGGTCTGACACGTTGTCAGAGGTCGATGAGTAGAAAACCGTCGATGTCGATGAAATTGAGAACGACCGTTCATCGTGCTGTCAGGGTCTGACGAGGCTGTCAGGAAATTGCCAAGTGCTCTTTCTCCCCCCCTTCGAAAATGGACTGCCATGCCACCCCAAGATCTCCGCGTGGCAGCATCGATCACTCTCCTGCTACAGTATCTCCAGTTGTCAGCAGCTGCGAGCCGAAAATGCTGTCTGTTTGTTCTGTTGCTGTGGCAGAATCGGATTCCTCGTTTGCTGCAGATTCTCCAGCTGTCAGCAGCTGCAACCCAAAACCAATTTTTGTCGCTGGCGCGAACCCGTTGGCCGCCCTGTCGCTGGTACAAATTCCGAAACCAGTCCAAATTTCCATTAGTCGTGACTCCGGATCGTTGAAGTTCGTCGTCGAAGACCGTCGCGAAAATTTCGAAATCGTTGTAGCGCAACAGCGACACTCGGAGAGGCGGCCTGATCACGTAACTGACCGAATGTCAGTTTTGGAAACTCCAACATAAACTCGAACTCAGGTGCGTATGACGCCAGCACCCCCGGCTGCTTTGTCGTAACTCGCCGAGACCTTTGTCGCTATTCTCCGAAAACTCCCGGGCAGAGGCGAAAAACAGCTGCTGTTCCTCCCCCTGACCACCGAAATATTTTTTTCAGCTTCGAACTTGAATTGTCGATGACGTCAGCTGCATTGTCTGCGTTGTCCTGACTCGCCGAACTCATCCGGGCAGGGGCGAAAACAGCTGTCGTCCCCTCCCTCCACCTGTTGCAAATTTTCACCTGTGTTGTCGCTGGTACCCCCGAGCAGCTTCCGAGTTTACTGCTACACTTTTAACGACGAGTGCCTTCGCGCGCTTAATCAAGCGACGCTGCAACTCCGCCGTTGGCACGGATACTGTCGACGACCCCGCCGACTCCGTTAAAACTCATCCTCGGAACTGCACGTGGCACCCGTAAAATGTCGGAAATTAACAGACCCCGAAAATCTAGGTCGCCCGCAGGTTGTCCTCCGAAAGAACCGGTGTTTCTAGCACGCCCACCCGGTCACCATTTTTTTCGTGCGATTAACCACCCAAGCGACCCACCAACAGGAGGTGCTTTTTCGGCGTGGAACCCAGTACTTATGGGTCTTCCGAGACCGATTTTCACGGACCCTAGCGCGCATCAACGCCGCAGATGTTGCCGTTGAACTCCCCCAGGTAAACTCCTGAAGTACACCGTGAAGCTTAAAACAACTGGCGAGCAGACGTTCACCCGTCTCCCACCGTCGAAATTGCGCCCGAAAATCATGGTTGCGGCAACAAGCCCCGAAGTATTTTCCGCTTCGTATCCCCGACGTTTCCACCGTTGACCCTGGTACTCCGACGTTCACCCATCTTCGTACCCGTCGAGATTACTTAGCAAATCCCAGGTATCCTTGGCAATACACCCCTCGCCGTGCCTCCATGTGTGAGATATCCGACCCTTCCGGTGCCCACCGAGTAGACCCCGAAATTCACGGTGGAGTGGTGTACGGGCTCAACCTATCACTCAAGTAGCTTGAAGAGGCACCCACAACTTTCCCTCCCTTTTTTTTTGTCTTCACCCCCCGACATTTTAGCTTACAGCCGTTCACCCAGCGTCCGCTTTTGTCGGATGAGGTATTCTCCGTGTTGACCCGCGATTTTTCTGGCGTTCGATGAAGGCGCGAACGCCATCGTAGTCGGAGCGAGATTATCATATCAAACTCTCAGCCGGCCGCTTCGCTGCCCACCGTGCCTATCGCTTTTAAAACTCCGCAGCTTCGGGAACTCCGTCTTCGCTGCTACACCGTCGTCGGGTAGACCGTTGAATTCGGAGAAACACCGCCAGCTGCCACAACTTCCTCAACTCCGACATTTTCGGCGGAGTATTGTTGCCGATGGTCCGTTTTTGTCGGGGCCGAAACAGTGTCGCATCGTTGAAATTTTCTTGTACGCCCTGCTGTCGAACCAGTGCCACCCACGCCTTTCTAACCAGCACAGGGCTAAAACATAGGGCCCCACCTTTTTATCCAGTGGCCAACAGGACTTACGAATTGCCTTCGAGGCCTTCTGGTGTGAGGTACGTGAAACGTCGGTAGACTTTGGCCGGTAGGGAGCTCCTTCTGCTACCGCCGCTTAGCCGTGAAACTTGGCCTCGGCAAAAAGTTGTCGCAGTAGGTCGTTTTCTCCCCTCCTGAAGCTCGGAATCCGTTTCTCTCGCAAGACCCGTATTTGTCGCAACTCCGTTTATTGTAGCCGGTAGACCAGGCGAAATTCGCGGGTCTAGACGCTGCGCCAAACCGTTGTCCCGTCGGTGTATTGCCCTGTCTGCGGCGCAACTTCCCTTTATCAGGGGGAAACTGTGTCGCCTGAAGTACAGTGTCGGCTGCTGCTGTTGCTCCGAAATGTTCGGCCGACTTTGTTGCAGGCGCAGAAGTGACCCTAACGCGAACAGTCTAGTCGTAGGCGGCCTTTTCCGAACTTTTCGGTGGTTTGGAGATAACTTCCGTCCCACACTGTGCCGCTCCTGCCGAAAAACGCCCACGATGCACCCTCCTGCAGCAACACTTGCCGCACCCGGGCGGGACGACGGTAGACCCCCGCTTTCTTCGGCCGCCTCTCCTCGCCGTCGGTTTTTCTGACGCAAATCACACATTGCGCTTGGCTACTCGCACAGCAGTCGTTTTCCACGTGCTGCTACCCAAAATCTTCGCGCACAGTGATGACGCGCCACTTGCCGAAGACCTCCAGCGGACTCATGCGCAACGTGACGAAGAAGCTCGACGCCACTTGCCGCATGCGGTCCACTCCGAAATTGTCGCGCGCAGTTGTCGACCACGTGCCGACGCAACTCGCACCGTGTCTTGCTTCCGACATCTTCGGACGTGCACTGACGGAGATCCTGTCGACGTCAGCTGCCACACAAATTAACTCTGAAAATGCCGAAACGAATACTGTTAACTCACGCAATTAAATGCGACAACAGCAAAAGATGTCCGCCACCCGGGGGGAGGGAGGCCACGGTCTATCTCGACCGTCGAGGGCTAGGATCCGTCGGTGCCGCAGGAGCGCCTGTAAAAACATGGCCGCTAGGAGCAACTACCCGTTCTCCTGGCCGGCTACTGTCACCACGGCATCCTTCTCTCAAAGTTAGCGAACAACGGAATGTGTGAACTAGGGAAACAAGGGATACAAATAGCAACCCTAAAAGTGTTGTACTCCCTATAGTTCTACTCACTGTAGCCTAAGAACGTATAATAACATTTGACACACCCCCATAGGCTAAGTGAGGGGCATCAAAGCAAGCAGGGTGAACAAACGGTCACAAGACCAGTCACTGCAGGAAGCAAAGCAAGCTCAGGGTGGATCTCAAGGACACCACACAAATTCCGACCGCAGTGACCAGTCAACGCCACTGGCTGAGTCCCTCCAAGCACAAGCCCCATGCCTGATGTAGTCGCCAGGTACTTCGCCACCCTCACAGCAGCTGTCCAGTGGACAGGACGGTGTCTCCCAGTCGCAACAAAGCGAGAGAGGACACTGAGGGGAAAGGCGAGGTCCGGCCGAGTACAAGTCATCAGGTACATGAGGCAGCCCACCAGCTCTGCGTAGGGACCACTGGACTCAAAAGGCTCGTCGGGAAAGGGGCCAGTGAGTCTGTGGTCAACAGCAAGAGGTGTGGGTTGTGTGGTGGAGAACTGGAAGTCGAACCGCCGAAGGACCTGCTGCACCATGTGTGACTGAGTCAGTGTGATGGTGCGAGCGGCTCTGTCCCTGGTGATCTGCAGGCCAAGGTAGCGCTGCAGTTCACCTAGGTCAGTGCACGTGTGTCTCTTCTGCAGTTCGGACTTCACCTGAGCCAGAGCTGCCCTGTCTGCTGTGGCAAAGACCAAGTCGTCGACGTACACTAGTATAAAGAAAGGAGTGGAACCAGTGCGAACAAACAGCGACGGGTCGGCAGAGGAAGGACAAAACCCAAGGTCACGAAGCGTGGAGCGAAGAGTGTCGTGCCACTCACGGGGCGACTGGCGGAGACCATAGACTGGCCGTCTCAGGCTCCACTGGGTCCCAGGTGGGAAGGTGTCAGTGAAGCCAGGAGGGCGGCGCAGCCAGATCTCCTCGTGTAGTCGGCCCT